GGTTACCAGCAGCGTCTCGGCTGTGACTGCCCAAGACCTGTTTGCCACACGCAACAAGCGTTTATAAGCCTGTTCACGCCACGCCGTGGTGACGCGCTCGACATCGGGTACGGTGCTTAACTGCGTGGAATGGATGCATCCGTTTTACGTAATAAACACAAACATATTTAACTGAAGTCAATTAACCGAAGATGGCAAGCAGCATGAGATCTGCTGAAGATTCTCTCAATCGGCGCGCGACGGAAAGATACGCCGCGCGGCACGCCCTGAACGAAACCTGTTCAATCTCGCCCCCGGGATTACAGATGAGTGTACACACCGCCAGAATAACTTACTGACACATCGAAAAACAACGTGTGGCCCACGGTGGGTAGGTAAGCCCGCGCCAAACATTAAGTGCATCTAAGTCATCGCCATAGCATTACAACCTCCCCCTCCCCCTCCTAAGCGTGTCCTTACAGCCGGCACGTTAACAACCCTGCACCGAGTGCGGGTCGTGCCCGGCACAGACCTTGCAGAAGCCGAGCGTGGCACGGCGCACCGGCACAGACCCTGCAGAAGCCGAGTGTGGCGCGGTGCACCGGTACGGACCCTGCAGAAGCCAAGTGTGGCGCGGTGCCCGACATAGACCCTGCAGAAGCCGAATGTGGCGCGGTGCGCCGGTACAGACCCCGCAGAAGCCGAGTGTGGCGCGGTGCACCGGTACAGACCCCGCGAAGCCGAGTGGGCGCGGTGCGTCGGTACAGACCCCGCCGCAGAAGCCGAGTGTGGCGCCGTGCACCGTAGACGGACCCCTGCAGAAGCCGAGTGTGGCGCGGTGCCCGACACAGACTCCGCGAAGCCGAATGTGGCGCGGTGCGCCGGTACAGAAGACCCCCAGGAAGCCGAGTGTGGCGCGTGCAACACCGGTACAGACCCCGCAGAAGCCGAGTGTGGCGCGGTGCCCGGCACAGACCCTGCAGAAGCCGAGTGTGGCGCGGTGCACCGGCACAGACCCCGTAGAAGCCGAGTGTGGCGCGGTGCCCGACATAGACCCCGCAGAAGCCGAATGTGGCGCGGTGCGCCGGTACAGACCCCGCAGAAGCCGAGCGTGGCGCGGTGCCCGGTACAGACCCCGCAGGAGCCGAGTGTGGCGCGGTGCGCCGGTATAGACCCCGCAGGAGCCAAGTGTGGCGCGGTGCACCGGTACAGACCCCGCAGAAGCCGAGTGTGGCGCGGTGCACCGGTACAGACCTCGCAGAAGCCGAGTGTGGCGCGTTGCACCAGCACGGGTGCGCAGTCCCGACCAATGGCCCATGGCATCTGGAGTCTCCGTAATTAGAGCCGGACGTGCCTGCTTCCAAAAACCGCGCCTGCGCCCTGCGGCAGCTCGCCGCGCCTGCGCCCTATACCAGCTCGACTGCTTTCAATGCTGACATGCATTCAATGCACCTTATTGAGTTTCTTGTGCGAGTTCGAACAGTTAGTGAGTTTTAGGAGGGCCTCAAGTGCGTTGGTTATTTGCACCAAGCTCGAACGTCCTACCCAACAATGACCATGGATAACTGATATTGATGTGGCGTGTGTGCTCATTTTCCCCTCCAACTTGTATTGAACCGTTGCAAAACAGTCGGTTCGGTACAACACCTCGTTTTAGGGAACGTGTCACGTTTGGAGACATTGAAGCAAACATCAGACATGATGAATAGGCTGACTTTAGCCTAGTATCTTTTAAGTGGAAAAGACTGCTGTAGGCAGCACACGTTCTCTCCATGAGCTCCTCGGTCCTTCATTGTTAGATTGCGTCATCGCACGTTACATATTGAAAGCCCACTGACGGTCGTTTCGTTGGAAATCATGCCCACTAACGCCAGATATGAACGACTCCACAATTCTTTTCTTGATCTTGGCCAACGCCTGGCCAATGAAATGACAGGATAGCGATGACGTTATCACGGCGTCTTGGGTGGCTGGGTGCCCTGAATGGTCCGCACCAATTCTGCACAGCCTTCCGGCCGTACAGCTAAAAAAAGAGGGGTTTAGATCGCAAGAAGGGCGGGACTGTGAACTACACACAAAATGATCTCCAGGACGGGTATTCCGGTTCGAATTCTACACAAATGTGGAACACTTCCTTTAAATGTCAACTACGAAGGCGCATATCGTCCCGGAAAAGACCGGCGCAAAAGGAAAATCACGTCCGAGCTATTAACTGATGCCATCAGGGGCCATGCTGGGGTATCGTGACACGGACATACACCCTCCTCCGTCAAGCAGACTGTATTGAGTACCTTCATCCCACACAAGCCATGCGCTGACGCGGTTGTGCGTGTACGACGGTACACACCTGTAAAGAGATAGCTGAATGGTCGCCCCACATTGAAACACCCACTCTATCTTCCCCCAAAACGGCGAGAATACAGCGACATTAGCGCCGGGTATGTTGCCACACATGGTGTGAGCCAAAACACAAAAGGCCGTTCCCAGCTGTCCAGTTGTGATTGTTCAGTGCCATCTAACATCCCCTTTATCACTCATCATGTACGGTCACAACTGCCAAATGAACGCCGGTTATTTAATGAATGAACAACGCCGTGTGCTGTTTCACAGCCCAGTCCCTCTCCCGAACACGATACACAGTAATGCCACCAACGACAACCAGACATTCGAAACCATTCAAAAACTCACAAAAAGCGCGTGCCTTTCGGAGGGCCGAGTGGCCGCTTTCCCTGCTGCGCGGACCCCGTCGCGGTGCCGGCGCGCGCCGCCTAGCGTTGGGGACAAAATGACTAGTTTCCAACCCCGTCCGACGTGACGCGGCCGGGCGAGGTCGACTCAGGCCGTGCCGCCGCCCGGCCGGTACGTTGTGACCAGCACTCCTGCCCTAACAAGCTGCCAGCGGCAAAGCCCAGCGCTAACTCCGACCGAACCCTGAGCTCCACACAGGCCGCGCCCCCGACCGCACCCGGCGAGACGCCACATCACGGACTGCACAGCACCCACAGCGGCGATCCCAGATCAGTAACTGGCTATGTTGGCAGCGTGTACAGATTGCCGTTCGCACATGCACCCAACAGAGGTGGACGATTGCGGGCGATTGCAGACGATTGCAGGCACTGCAGCGCGATGGCACGGAGATTGAGAGGACGAGCCTGATGCCGCGGTGGGCGACAACTGGCCGCGTCGCTAGCTCGCATCAGTACAACTCTACATGGTTTACAGTGAAGTGGCTTTCGCCAGCATATCCCGATGCTGGCAATCTTCCAAACCGGCTCGAAAGCGCAAGACGTCAGGGAGAGAGAGAGAGAGAGAGAGAGAGAGAGAGAGAGAGAGAGAGAGCAGAGAGAGAGAGAGAGAGAGAGAGAGAGAGAGAGAGAGAGAGAGAGAGAGAGAGAGAGAGAGAGAGAGAGAGAGAGAGAGAGAGAGAGAGAGAGAGAGAGAGAGAGAGAGAGAGAGGAGAGAGAGAGAGAGAGAGAGAGAGAGAGAGAGAGAGAGAGAGAGAGAGAGAGAGAGAGAGAGAGAGAGAGAGAGAGAGAGAGAGAGAGAGAGAGAGAGAGAGAGAGAGAGAGAGGAGAGAGAGAGAGAGAGAGAGAGAGGAGAGAGAGAGAGAGAGGAGAGAGAGAGAGAGAGAGAGAGAGAGAGAGAGAGAGAGAGAGAGAGAGAGCCATACAGTGTCGACGGACCTCCCAACGGCGCTCATCAACTGCCCAGACAAGTCACCCGCCCAAGACCTGGCGCCCGGGCCTCAGGGGATTGAACGATACATTTGAGGAAACCAACTCTTGGGCACGAGACAACTGTGCAGCGCTTATGGGAATGCAACGTGACCGGTCGGCAGATATGTGCGATATAGCAGCACTGCCCGCGCACACCAACATACCGAATATGGGGCAATAGGGTAATAAGTTCGGACACTGGGCCGGGCGGTGAAGACATGCGAAAACAAATCACGGCTAGAGAAATCCAGCAGCCTCCCGTAAGGCAGTCTAAGAAGCTGACGGCTTAAGTCGGCCGTACCAGAGCAGACAGCGGTGGAGGTGTCCACGACAGTCGTCCCCGAGAAGACAAAACGCTCACAGCGCCTAAACCGAAGTCGCTCGAATGTGCGGACCGGGGCAGCCGCGGCTGGCCGCCCTCTGCGGCTGCCGCAAACGGCCCACGCGCCGCTGACCTGTGGTCCGCACCCCGACCCGTGCGGTCCGACCTGTGGTCCGCACCCCTGACCCGTGCGGTCCGACCTTCGTCCCGTCAAGTCCACGCGTCTACGAGCGCGGCCTGCCACGGTCGCCTCTCAGCGGCAGCCCAGTGATTACACGCACATGGAGCCACGGCGAAGCAGTAAACCTGTTTGGGCTTCAGTATTGCCCGCAGTTGACGCGCGGCCCAGTGTAGAACACTGCTACCCAAGTCACAAAACCCGTCCAGAATGAGCCCTCCGGCGTGCCACAAACTGAAATGCAATGTATAAACTCTGTGGACCGCGATAAGGCGGGCGGAATGTCTTTGCTTTCTGCGGCGCGTGGTACAATTTCGAGCATCAGCGGTAAAGCATGCCTGACGTATTTGCGCACGCCACGCAGGGCGCGCTCAAAGGGTCACAGGGGACAGTGGCCCATTTGAACTTATTCGGTACGCATTGCGTACATGCGTTCAAGCAGCTTTAAGCTGCATTTCAAGCTATTCACCGCGCAAATTGGACTTATGACCCTCTTTACAGAAATCATGTGCACATACTCACGTCACGTCGGGTCCGTGCCGTGAGCGACCGGTTCGAGTCACATTTTATCCGGGGACACCAATAACAAAGAATAGCAAAATAATCGTAACAGCTTTGACAGCTTTCTCAATCGATAGAACAAACAAAAAAAACAGCTAATGGCAATAACAGTACCTCTGTCATTTCCAATGCCCAAACTCCACCTACGAACGAGTCTTGCTGTTTTGATCATACAAAAATGAACCGCCTGAACGCCTGCCAGGGGAGCAGCCAACCGAAATCCAGCTTCATCAGCGTGGATGGCAGCTATCCTTACGATCAACCCGGAGACTCTCCTCGATTCGTGTGCCCGCCACCATTGGGCCTCCGCGTGGCCCGCTGCTGCGGACCACCTCCTGCCCGGGGCCGAGAGCAGCCCCGCCCCGGGAGTGCAGCCTCCACGGCGCCCGCTCAGTCGGCCTTGTCGCCGCCGACGGTCGGACGCAGCCCGTCGCCGGCGCCGCCGTTGCTGTAGGTGCGCCGGTGGCAGCTGGCGCAGCGCGGCTGGGCGCTCCGCTGGTGCGCCGCCTCTGTCACATCCGTCCACAGGTGCGGCTTCACGGCTGTCGGCTTGAACTGCAAACGCAAAGCGCGTCAGGCATGACCATGGTGGGCTTCGCTCACGATGATGGGGCGGCGCAGGCCCTGTCGTGCTCAGTCACGCGGTCGTGCGCGCGTCAGTGGGACAGGGGGACGATGGGACCACTGATGTCCAGGCAAACCGCTCAACCGACTCACGCGGGATACCCATATCAGGGGCTTTACTATTCGCTAAGAAAATACTTTTATGGCAGGCCCCTACATAGAACGCAGGGTTTAACAAGTCCGACAACGTACAGATTACATAAATATATAGGTTACCAGAAGGTTACAGAACAGAACTGATGAGAGTTAAGAACGTAATCAGATATCATGAATGAAATAATTCATCGGATCATTCTCGTCCGGTGTGTTAGTACGCACAGAAGGCTTCCTGATTAAACATCGCCCTTCCCAGCTAGCACTGTGGTAGAGCGATGGACTAGTGATCCGAGGACCCTAGTGCTAACTTCAGCAATTCCAAGGAGACGGCTCCGAGTGCGATGAACAAATGCATGCGCGCGTGAGTGAAAGCTAAAAGCCATCTAATCCTTCGTGCATTTGATTTGAAACTGATGATCGACCAGGGGATTTCACTAGTACTGATGACTGACTACGGGATTTCATCAGGATCTATGATCGACCCGGGGACTTCACCAGGACTGATCATTGACCAGGGGATCTCACCAGGATCTAAGATCGACCCGGGGACTTCACCAGCACTGATGATTGACCAGGGGATCTCACCAGGATCTAAGATCGGCCCAGGGATTTCACCACCACTGATGATTGACCAGGGGATCTCACCGGGATCTATGATCGACCCGGGGACTTCACCGGCACCGATGATTGACCAGGGGATCTCACCAGGATCTATGATCGACCCGGGGACTTCACCAGGACTGATCATTGACCAGGGGATCTCACCAGGATCTATGATCGACCCGGGGACTTCACCAGGACTGATCATTGACCAGCGGATCTCACCAGGATCTATGATCGACCCGGGGACTTCACCAGGACTGATCATTGACCAGGGGATCTGACCAGGGTCTATGATCGACCCGGGGACTTCACCACGACTGATGATAGAGCTTTTTCGGGGGTTTCACCAGGCGAGCCTAGGAGTAAAAGCTCAAGCTGCGCACGACACTGGGAAAAACAAGGGGAATCATGCTCACCTGAGTCAAAAAGAATCGGGCGATGACACAGAAGACCTTGCAGCAGAGCGGTATGAAGAGCGACTGGTGTATGAATGCCGCCACCCGGTACCAGGGCCCGTAGAAAGGGTCAGAGATGGCTGGGCACACCATCGAGTTCAGGTTGACCGTGGTCGCCTGCAGTAACACACGGTGGGTTGGAGTGATCACCCGGTACCAGAGCCCGTAGAAGGGGTCAGGGATGGCCGGACACACCATCGAGTTCAGGTTGACCGTGGTCGCCTGCAGTAACACACGGTGGGTTGGAGTGGTCACCCGAGGTCGGGGCCCGTAGAAGGGGTCAGAGATGGCCGGACACACCATCGAGTTCAGGTTGACCGTGGTCGCCTGCAGTACACAACATCGGGTTGGCAGTGGTCACCCGGGGCGCGGTCAGCCGGGGTCCCTCGGCTACAGGCACGCGGCCTCGGCGCCGTGGCGCGGCGCAGATCGCGGCGATGGTCGGCCACTCCAGAGCTGGCTGGTCGTTTCTGAACTTCGTGCGCTCCGCAGACATCAAGAAAAAAAACAGGAGCAGTAGACACGTGGCCAGCGACATCAATATATCCGGTAATGATGTTACAGTGAACTGGTTCAAAACTCGCCCCTGCAATCATTTAGAAATGCATGAATGCACGCCCTCAGTGCTGTCAGATGGTCACGGCCTGGAGGCGACGGGAATCTGGCTCCCTGTTGACTTTACTCGCAACGATGCTAGATAAATTAACCAACGGCAATTTCTCCACATAATGCCTGCATGATACCCTGCCCACTGTCTGCTCATAGAAGCCACAGGTAAAATACTTCCAACGTCAAATGGGGTCATTAATCAAAACTGCAGGACGTTTAACGATCAACACCACGAACGTTCCACGTCAGAAACATTAACATTTTCGCGCAGGCAGCGATTAATTACCTGCAAAAAGTTTAAAGTTCCAACTGAGCTTTGAACACGAGGATCGCTGCGTGGTTACAATAGTGCTGAAGTCAATGGTCAAAACTAGAAGCCGAACTACATCTGCCCATCCTGAGGAGGTGAGGTTGGCAGGAGCCAGAGGTCAGCAGTTAGAGGTCTCTAAAGACAAAAGTCAAAAGTCAGAGGTCTCTAAAGCCAGAGGTCAGCAGTCAGAGGTCTCTAAAGCCAGAGGTCAGCAGTCAGAGGTCTCTAAAGCCAGAGGTCAGCAGCCAGAGGTCTCTAAAGCCAGAGGTCAGCAGCCAGAGGTCTCTAAAGCCAGAGGTCAGCAGTCAGGTCCCTAAAGCCAAAGGGGGTGAGGCCTCAGCCTCTACGCTGCCGTCCGGAGACACAGGTGCATGGCACGTTTGTTTATTGTTTCATGACGGTCCACCCACCTGGCGTCTCCGCCCGGTGGCGGACGCTGCCGGCGGAACGGCTCACCACGTGGTACAGGGAGGGAGAGGGGGGGGGGGGGGGGGGGGGGTTTGTCACGCGGGAGCGGCGCGCGGCGCGCTGGCAGTGGGAACCGCGTGAGGTGACCGCCCAGGGGCGAGTCTTCTCTAAGCGTAGTGTCGTAGGTGCACATTCCTTGCGCCGACACGTGCGGTTGTGGTGTCCACATTGTTCGCATAGCGAAGTCCACGCAGTCTGTCTGTGACATCTTATGAGCAATGATGCTACGAATGTCTGTAAGACAGACACCCAGCGCCTCCTGAACACTCCACGTTCACGGGGAACTTGATCGCGCCAGTAGAGGCAGTCAATCCTGGCAATTAACACCAGCATCCAACGCTCCGTGTGTCTAGCTGAGGCCTCGTGCTCATAGCTCCGGCAAGTCGCCAGCGTTTCGCGTGTCTAGTGGGGCCTTGTCAGCTTAGCGCCCAGTTTGGGTAAGTCTCCAAAGCTGAGATGTGTGTCCAATGGGTGTCGGAAGGACGGTGCAATCAGCTGACTGCTCCGCCGGACGCACGTCCCATCAGCGACCTGGCATGACCGGATGTGGCAATGTGATGGAATGCATACCTCGCGTGAACACATCACACACACACACGGCCGGTATGAGGTGAGTTGTCTGCATGCGGTGACGGCCACGCCCGGCCGCACACGTCCGGCCGCCGGCGAGGCGGTCTGAACAGCGCCGTGTCAGCGGCTGCTCTCCGGTTTGCCGGCTCGACAGGCGCCAAAAACGTAAGCTACGGGTCCATCCCGTCCTTTATCGGCTTACTGCGCACCTTAGCATCTTGCCGTGCAACACGTGGTGACGTTTTTAGTTTCGCCACTACTTAAGAAAATAAATGGGTGGAATAGATTTCGCGGCCAATGCCCGTGTTTAGACGCGAGTCTCCACTGGCAGATCGCTGCAGTCACAGAGCCACTGCCGCGTGACCTACGGCAGTCGATGCGCCCCAAAGCCCCAAATCACCATCACGGAGATACTCACGATCCCAATGGCCTGCAGCACGGTGAAGTGGTACAGCATCGACATGCCCAGCGACATCACCGACCACGTCATGTCTTGCAGCTTCTCGATGGTGTACACCCCTGCAGCGACGCAAACCAAAAACCGTTGTCAGGTTCCATATCACAGGACGGCATGGATAAAGGTCAGGCTGCTTTGTCTTGACGTTGATGCTTCTTGATTCTAATGCACGCTGTTGTAACATTGCCAACAAAGGTACCACACGAGAGCGCATGCGCCCCAGAGTTCAGGACAGCAACACAGTGTGCACAATATACCATGACTGCGTCATTACATGAGCCGGTTGGCGAAAGAAACTGCCGTCTCTGAGAACGATCCTTTCAAAAACCATGCTTCTTCAAAAAAGCTTCCGCATGATTGACGAACAGAGGTGGTCGCAAAAGCCACGCGGCACGCGTCTGCCCGTGGGTGGCCGCTCAGTGTCGGCCCGGCCGCCAGAGGAGCCGGCGCCGCTGGGCTCGCGGTCCGGCGCCGTCCCCGCTTCCCTCATCCCCAGCCTACCTCCCAGGCGGAGCATGTAGTATGGCACCACCAGCATCATCGAGTGCTGGATCCAGTACAACTCGGCTTCGAACGGCAGCTGGAACGCCGGCCCAGTGGTTAGCGCGTCGGCCCGACGGTGCCGGAAGAGCAGCGGCGGCTCCAGCCAACCGGTACCGGCAGGGCACCAGCACCGGTGGAGCTGCCGCAGGGACCGGTACCGGTGGAGCTGCCGCAGGGCACCAGCACCGGTGGAGCTGCCGCAGGGCACCAGCACCGACGGAACCCAGGGCACCGGTACCGACGGAACCCAAGGCACCACGCCGTCCCCCCCCCCCCCACCGTGTAACCTACGAGGAGGGGTGATCATGAGACACCAGAGCTATTTGGGATCGGCACGTGCTTGACGTGGCTCAAACGCCGACGACAGCTATCTAGCATGATGCGCCTGCGGACACATGCTATAATTCTGGGCAGGGGCCAGTCAAGGGCCTTGCACGGTCCCTCATATAGTTGAGGGCCCCCGAAATGTAAATGGTTCTTCCCTTAGCGTTATCCTGGATCCGCATAGGACAAGCACAAATGAACGGACACGGACACACGCGCAAATGAAACATGCTGAAGCGGGCCAGCGCACCCTTGCTGAAAAGGACGACTTTGACAACCGACTATTCTTATCAATCGCCAGGTTGACATCGATACACGTCTTCAACTGGCCCCGAACACATGGCGTCACGAAGCGCGATTCGCCACACGTAGTACAGCTGAATACCAGTCACGTACCAGACGTGTATTCGTGACGGGAAACAGAAGGGCCAGAACGGCGCCGTTCATGAAGTTCAGGTGTATTCGGAATATGATGGTCGTATACTTGCTCGGCGGTATAGCCAGCAAGATAATCTGGAAGCAATCATGCCCCCGATTAGGTTTGACAGGAGGGAGGGGTTAAATGGCAGGAAGGTTTACAGCAGGGTTGAGTAACATGATGACAAGTGAACACTTATCAGTGTTGATGTTCTCCTCAGAAGGAACACTTCACTCAGTAGCACATGCGACCCCCCAGTAAGTTGGACTCTGGTTCAAGGCCAGCAACGCCATCGCCCCGCGGCGGCAGCTGCGTCCCCACTCAATGACCTCCGGTGATGAAGTCGTCGCTAAACACCAACAACCATTATTCACTCACACAGATCAAACTGCAATTATAATACCACAGACGACATAAGGAAGCAGTGGATGCCTGTGCATACGCAGCGCCCCGAATATCCTTCAATAAAATACCATTCTTATGATCTGACCCGACGGCGCACGGGACGACGACTGGCCGTCTGACCAGACGTATTGATCTGGCTGGAATCCGGCCGCGGCTTGGCACGTTGCCGTGGAACCATAGCGACATGGCGGCGACTGGATCTCATGCTGCCCGCGAGGGGCTCACTTCCAATCCGATCCACAGAGAGCCATACCAAAATCATACGAACAAGAACAAAAGAATCAAAATCATCACGTGCACATTGGAAACGTACGCGTGGCCAAACGAATCATATCGAAGAAAATGACGTTATAGGGTGTCCACGCATCGCTTGAGCAAATCCTGTGGAGTTTGCCATGGCGCAAGGCGGTGGTGAGCCGGCCTCGGGCTCTCCCCTCGGCCACAACATTCCAGGACCACACCAGACACCAGGTCCCCGCCGAAGTCCAGCCAGTCATCGGAGAGGGTAAGGCCGCACTCGGCCCGAGCGGCCGGGCGGGCGGGCGGAGCGACCGCCCGCCCGGTCGCTCGGGCCGTCCGTCCGACGGGCCGGCCCTCGAGACCACGCGGGCCGGTCCAGCTTTGCAGGTTTGGCCGGCCTGAGCCTGCTCACCTGTGTGGCCGTGGTCACGTGACACGGGTTCAGCAGGTAGATCAGCTGCCGCGTGGCCAGCTTGAAGCCGATCTCGATGCCGAACATGAGTGACATGACGACCAGCAGGATGCGGCGGCCGGCGCGGTCCTTCCTGGCGGCGGCCGGGCGGGCGGTCCGTCAGCTTCTGACACGCGCGTATCGGCCGGCCGACGGAGGGCACAACCGTCCGGCGACGCACGGCCAGACGGGACCTCAGGGGCCTCGCAGATGCACTGGACACTGACGCCTCAGACCTTAGATGCCTCACAGATACACTGGACACTCACGTCTTAGACACCAGACACCTCAAAGATACGCTGGACACTCACGTCTCAGACACTAGGCGCCTCAGAGACACTGGACACTTACACCTAAGACACCAGATGCCTTACAGACACTGGACACTCACGTCTCAGACCTCAGATGCTTCACAGATACACTGGATACTTACACCTAAGACACCAGACGTCTCACAGACACTGAACACTTACGTCTCAGACCTCAGATGCTTCACAGAGACACTGGACACTTACACCTAAGACACCAGATGCCTCACAGACACTATACACTCGCGCCTCAGACCTAAGGCGCCTCGCAGAGACACTGGACACCTCGGCTTCAGACACCAGGCGCCTCACAAAGACACTGGCCGTTGCCATTTCGATCCGGTGTCGGTAAAGTGCCGCATGTTTGCGCTGCGATCCGGTGGGAAAATGTCGCAATTTTATGCCCAAACGTGGGTGAGCCCACTTGTCTGTGTCATTCGGCCACCTAGTACGTATTCCAGCTTCGAAAGCTGAGATCTAATAAAGGACCTTGTTTAGGGCGCCGTCAAAGTGCGCAGCGACAAACGCATGGCCATCAAGTCATGGATAACGCCACGCCTGTTCAACGACGTTAAAATACGCCGCATAATACGCACCGCTACTGCACATTCACGTGACAGCCAGCCCATGGCTATACCGAGCTCCTGAGAAAACCCAGGCCCGGGGCGGCCGTGCCACAGCATTTTTGCGGCACGTAAAACCATTCGCATTCCTGGCTGGCGAAAGAACGGAGGCAAAATTATCCGTTGAGCTGGACGACACGATCTGTGCGGTAGGTTTGGGGTGCACGCAGCGAGCTATGTTTAGCCGGTTACTCTGAACCCAAAGCTACTCATTGAAAACCACTCGGGATACACTTATTCAGAAAACAAAGAATGTCTGGGATCTCCATCTCCATGGGTTAAAGCGTTGCCACGGTGGCTGATGCAAACGAAACGACAGATTAGCTAACAGACTATTTGATGTGCTCAGGGACTTGAGGTACAGACAGCCGACACACAGCATATCAGTGCCACCGTGACCACAAGACCGCCGGGCGCTGCAACGTCAGGTGCCACACGAACAAAAAATGTGGGCTGCCCGGTATCAACGTCATCTAGACACTGGAATGCGACGAAGAGATTAAGCGTGATGTCCAGAACTTGACCTATAATCACAGCACCATTTTCCAGCACTCAACGCGTCGACTTGTGCCACCTTCTTCCCGCGTCGTTTCTCAAACAACATCGTCAATTTGACGACCTATTCAGCCGAACGAGCAGTGTTTTGTGTCATGTATACTTCGTAACAGTTTTCGTCCTTGCTTTAAAGCTTTGACTAAAACCTTGCAACTGAATAGATCTCTACGGGCCGAGCTCATGTCAAGCAGTGCCTGTTACGTGAAAACCGATACCACCATCACCACCATCTGAGCAATTCAGGTCAACGACGGAATTCCGTGGCGAATTCGAAGTTCACAATGTTGAACGCGGTCTGCTGACAATGTTGACCAGCCGCAGACCAACCTCAGTCGTAACCAAACAGCACACGGTTAAAACGACTCGAACCCACCCCGTCACGGGTGGACGAATCCAACGTCAAACGCGTAACGGACTGCCGCGCCGGGACGGACAACTTCGCGACACAAATTTGGCTGAATTTCCGACCAATTTCATGGCGTTAACGGCACAGACATACACAACCGATTACAGGGGGGGTCGGCATCTCTTACACCAGTTTGCGTAAGCACGCGGAATCGTTCCAAACCACAGACAAGATAGTACTGTCCACGGGCACCTGTCACAGTGCACGCTAGGGACCAATATGACAGGCAATACGTCGACGCTTATCATTGAACCTTTTGAAACGGCAAACCATTGAGGTACGAACGCTGCATTCAGACATGTATTTAAACCTTATGCTCTGTCGAATAAAAGCACCGTTCCGCTCGTGGTACATGCAAACCATCAACACTTGCATGAACAACCAATAACACTGCAAACATCACGGACATTGTGAACATCGCCCAGACGCGCTCCCATCTCGCCAGCGCTAGCCCTACGCCAAGGTCATCTCCGCCCCCCCCCCCCCCCCCGCCACCGGCGTCGACCCCGTGTCCGGCACTCAGTGCATCCGAGCGCCAGCCGCGTGTCCCGGCCCAGCGCCGGCCGCGTGGCACACTCAGCGCCCCGCCCACCGGGCTAAGGCCGGCCGCCCCTGCGCCGCCCACTGACTGATGAAGGAGGTAGTCGCGCGGGCAGCGTGACCTGCGAGTAGCCCCAGGCCACGTAAGAGGCAGGCTGATGCCGACGGCGATGACCGTCTCGATGACGCGCACCACGGGCGGGCAGAAATGTCGCGGCACTCCTCGCCGCCCGTTGCCCGGCAGTCGGAAGTCGGACGCCGCCGTACAGGGCGTCGGCCAGGCCGGCCCATGTGTAGCCTAGCATGCTGATGGTGGCCCGAGGCTGGCGCGGCTGGCGGCTGGCGGCGAGGCGCTGCAGGTCATGTCAGCACGGACCGCGCAACGGCCGCCTCATCAGCAGACCGCGCCAGACATGCTCTGAACACTTCTGATGGCCCCAGCCAGCATTCAGCAAATGAACCACATCACAAAAGCAATGTGCTCCTGAGATTTGAAAAGGTTTGAAAGCAGCCTGTGGTTTGGAATGATGAGTGCTTGTGTTTGACAGATAGTGATCATGCCATATGAACTCAAACTTCTCAAATGTGTTAAAGTTGTATCAGGAGTAATATGGCAGGCATATTAACAGCTTCTGCATAGCATCTATACCATCTGTATGCCATCTCTGTGACAGGGTTGCCTGTGGCATCAAGTTCTCAGTAGCTGGCTTAAATTAGTCATTGTGCTGGAGCAAAGTTCCTGATGGTACATGCCAATTAGCATTACCTGGTTCTCAGAGTATTTGTCATGCTTATGTTGCCTAACTGGAGGCAGGAAAGATCATCTTGTTTTTAGGCCTTTACCCTTCAAACTACCTCTTCACCCTCCAAACCCCTTCAAGTCACCCTCTTTCACGACACCAGCTGGGGTCTCACAGAGCAATATCCAGCTCCCATCAGTCAAGTTGATGCCCTCATGAGCTGTTCAGGATCTTTTATACATCAGAGTTGTAAGAGAGCTCCAAAACTTCATTTTATGTTCAACAATATTTTACATCATTCTTCTTCACATTTACTAGAGCTGCCTCTATGTATCTGGAACAAATTCTGACCCCCATTTGATTGGAGGCAGGACTACAGCTCATATTTTACATATATCTAGTTCTGTATAGAATGGACACCAACTCAGTATGCATAATAATGTGATGGAAAGGATGAATTATGAGAACTGATCTTCATATTAGTGGACAGAATGCATGCTTAAATGACCATAAAAACTATCTCTGGACCACATAACTACAGCCTCTTGTCTTGTCTCGTGTTAATCTGATTTACTGTTCAAGAAGAGAAAAGCCAAAAAGTGACTTGGCAAGTCAAAGCATTAAAATAATATAACCATCCATGTCTCAAGGTAGGCCACATATTCTACCTGTGGCCATGTAAGCTCACTTGTCATGCACCTTCAGAACCTGTTCTTCCACAACTGCTGATATGGCTACAGTTCTGTGATTACAGTTCTTGCACAGCTAAAGTTGGAGATGCAACCACATCATGTTTCAGCACTTTCTTGATTGCCCAATCAATAAGTACCACCCTTCTCCTCTCTGACCTTGATATGTCAACACTGTCCTGCTCATGAATAATGGTTTGTGTCAACAATGCAACACAATTGCCTATGCGATACTGTAACTATTTCATTGTAAGGTTTGAAGGATAAGATCAAACACTTTTTCTCACTTCTATTTGCAGCAGGGTCTAAAGAAGTCATCTGTACAGAGCTTTCAGACATCATGTCAGTTTTAGTCTGCCAATGGATATTGACATTAAAAGCTGCAATAATGTATGACAGGAATTACAAGTAATCCTTACAATACATGTTTCACAAAACATTTTTATTCCACAACTGGCTGTTGGGTGGTAAGTGTAAACATTTCATGCACTTTGCCATGAAGGGAGCTCATCAAGCCCTTATTTATCACTTCCTCGTCACAACATTTCTATGCTCTCATATTTACGGAAAGGATGAACAAAATGTACAAATTATCAATGAACATAACACAATTTTCACGCGGAAGGAACACAAATACGTGGCTTCTTTCAGTGATTCAGCTTAAGAGATGAGCCTGTGATCAGATTACCAAATTGTCTACCAACCTAGATATCAGACGAAGCTGCAAGTCCCCTGACCGCGGCTGGCACCCGCGCGCGACGCCGGCCACCAGACTGATATTGGAGCGGTGGGCGTGTGACGCAAATGCCGGATGAGAGGCAAAACTGTCCGATGATTCTCGTTTAATATTCGTTTAACGTAAGCGTGACGTAACTGGTGCACAGGCTTTCTCGTCCTGAGGGCGAAAACATGAAAGCGTCCCTATTCACTTGGAGAGAAGAGGCCTCAGCCCTCCCCTCCCCCAACTTGGATTCCGGGCTGCCCCAACGGTGGAAAGAAAATGGGTCAAATTTGAGGAGAAACCTGTTTGTTGGCGTAGGTTGGAGGTAGGTTGGGTCATTTTCCACTGCTTTCCTCTCGTTTTGTGAAACTACATGCTGGATTGAAGGGAAAGTCCCACAGCTGGAGATATCAAAACAAACATAAGATCTAACGTATTAAGCGCACTTATATGTTAAATCTGTTGGTATGCTCTCTAGTGGAAGAGACTGCTGTTGACAGCACAATTTCTCTGCTTAGCAAATCATATACTATTGGTATGTTTTTACGTGGAGAAGACTACTTTATACAATAAATTTTCCCCTAATGTTAGTACTCCCCCCTTTCCAAAGCATTTGAATTCTATCGGTTTGGAAAGACTAGCCCACTAGACCATTGTAAATTGAAAAGCGCCAGCCAATTTATTTCATGAAGTCATAACATGTTTGTGCTTATCCGGTTCGTAAGAAAAACTAATTACGTAGTTTTAATATCCATGTAAGAGCAGGCACAAGGTAATTTTCAAATTTACAAACATACTCTGATATCGACTTTGTCTGAAACCTTCATTCCAGAAGATAGTCCAATGAAGGATGAAACGTGCATTGAAGATATCGGCACCCTTGGTGTTTCTTTACAACCCAGATACAAATTCAGACAACTTTTTTGGGTTCTATCGGCTTAACTGAAGTCCATTAGACCATTGCAACATAAAGAGCGCTGGCGATTTATTTCGTGCAGTCATTTAATGGGTGATTTTGTCAGTTTATTTATCATAACCTTAAAGACAAAATTAATCTTATGGCAGGGTGGGAGCAGATCCCAGCTGTAGAAGGTAAATGTGTAACACGCACACACACACACATACACACACACACACACACACACACACACACACACACACACGCACATTATATATATATATATTATATATATATATATATATATATTTATATACACATATACATAGAAGCATAACATCCTAAAGACCCAGTGATAAACTCTGAATGGTCTACCTCACGGTCTCCTTTGCTCAGTTAACAATAAGTGAGTTTCTTTTCTGGCAGCCAGAAAGGCAGCGACTACCACCACGAGCGACCATCTATTTGCTTTATGCACGTCGGACGTTGTAGAAACGCTGTATGCAAATCCCAAATTAATAAGGTTGTGAGTGTGTACCCTCTAAAATGGAGGGCAGCCTTGACTAATCACAAATTCTGAAATGATGAGGTTGGGGGTAGAACCGTGGGTCTGGATTACAGGAATGCTTGTAAAGTGCAAAGTGTGCATATTTTGAATTTGTATCTTTTATATCAGAATTTTATACCAGAGTTTTGTCACTTAGAGTTTGTCACTGGGTCTTTAGGATGTTGTGATTATGATGGATTTAGGCCATGAATGTAAAGAGCAAAAACATTGTAATACTTAACAACCTTGCCTATTCTATTCTCAGGCCATGTGAAGTTGGTAAAAGTCAGCAAAGCTATGCACTGGGCCAATGAATGATCTATGCTATTTTGAATTATGAAGACCTGTTCTGGGGACATTTGGTTGAGGTGAGGGTGAGGGCACTACAATACAAATTACTGGCATTTTGTGTTGTGTAGCAGAGTTGTTAAATAACATTTTTATTGCAAAGTGTGGTCTTGAGGCCAGTCCTCATACTTGGACTTGGGTCAATCATGAGTAATCTAACATATAGTGGAGAGAGGATGTTACAAGCTGGTATGGGCCACTAATAGGAAGGAAGAAGAATCAGCTGCTTTGCTGTGTGGTAGACTAGATAAATGGAGAACTTCATTGCCAAACTGCTATTGCAGCTCTATTTACAAAAAAAAACTTCACTCAATATGCCCATCTGTTTTAGGCTGTGATGCATTCACCCTTAAAAGCAAAAACTAGTGGGTTGGTCTTAGCAGCCTGATGAAGGTCAGGTAGCCAAATGCCTTAAATGTTTGCTACATACTACAAATACTACAAATGCATACCAGCAGAAGACAACAATGAAAGCAAAAACATATGACGTTTATTATGATTAAAGCTTGCCTTAATCAGCCCACAGAACCATTGTAATACCTCCTGTCTTGGTCCCATATGTTTTAGGGGCAGCCCCAGATGTTTTTTGTTTGCAGGAAGCAATGTATGCTGAATTTGACTTCAGATTTAGTCTCATGATTATGAACTGAGAGTATGGCTTCCATTGTAGTGAAATTAGCTGGAATTCAGCTTTGCATATTTAAAATTATAAGTCCAGGATGCAACAGTGCTGGATATGGTCAGAGAAAAGTGCTGTGTTCAGCCTAAAATTAGTCTTTAGTGCATTTTTATGGTTGACAAGCTTTTCGCTCAATTCCTAAACAACCAGTGCATGTACAAAAGCTGTCACAAAATATTTTCTGAGAAAAGGGGTAGTTTTGAATTTTAGCAGGACATCAGATATGTACAGGCAGTGAAATTTAGGTGACAGTAATAGCAGGAGAATGGTGACTACAGTAGTTTATTTTGGTCATGCAGATATTAATTTCATAACATACCTAATTTGTGCTGTCTTGCAGCACATTGTAAAAAGATGTATTGTGATTCCTGGGCCAGTGGCCACACAGCATGGGAGGGCCACATTTGATCAGGAGCAGGTCCTCCCAGAATGGGACTTAGTTGTGCCTAAACCTTGACATGGACACCAACAAAGTAGTTTCCTGTCTACCAAGCTGCTCCATCCTGGTCCTGGTGATAGATGATAGCCATCCTGGCTGCTCTGGATATCACTGCATCAATCTTTGCCAGCCAGATATACCCGAAACATCACAGAATTACCCAGTGGGCACTAGAGCCCTGCAATGATCTGGACAAAAGCAATGTGCAGCAAATGTTAGAAGGATAACTGAATGGAGAGCTATGAAGAAGAGACCCTGGTGGGCTAGTGTGGAGCTAGGCCACAACATGCTCTAGATTGTCTTGTACACTACCCAGCATATGTATCAGCAGCATGGTCATATTGAAGTAGCATATTGCCTTTTCACTTTTGCAGTGAAATATCTGGATGTGAAGGAACAAATCCAGAAACTAGTGTGACAAGATACCTTCAACAGCAACTGAGCTTTTTCACTGTCCAGCAACTGTTCCAGTAATTGATGCATTGGTCCATGTAATGGGCCCACGCATATGTAATGGAGCCACTTGATGATAACAAGCTCATGTAAGCAGCATGGCATGCTGTTCCACCTGACATCATATGCCCATGCCTTCCCCATGCTTGGTCAGGTGTGAAGTCTGATTCAGAAAATATAATTATGCCCAATATAACCATCCTGAAATAACAAGTGCTTGGTCCAAATGCATGCTCTTGTTTCTGTTTTCAACTCCTGCTTCAGGATTTCTCATTTCATCTGGTTAGTCTAGTCTTATATGCATCTTTTCCACAATGATCCCTTTGTTCAGTGAATGCTGCTTTTTTGTTAATGCAGAGGCATTTGCAAACCCTCTGTAAAATCAACTTGAAGTATTTGGTGACGTGGTTGTTGTCACCAATATGGCCATAAGGTTATCATCTGCTGCTGGTGGTGGCCAAAGCTTCCAAGGGCTTTATTTTGATAGCCAATGTGCCCTTGAAATCCCCACATGTCAGGAAGTCCAGATACTGATGTTTCGGTTTTGTTGTGTCACCTGAAAAGCAGCGTTCTCTATGACGGCAGATGCCTTTGCAGCCACAATTGGGGATTGACTGGGATAAGAAGTCGAGAACTTGGATTATGTGTTTGAAGTAATGTGTCATATAAAAGTAATTTTTCATGAAACATTTCATAGTTTTCCCATTCCCTAACAATTTCCTGAAATAAGAACCACTGCATTATCCTGGATTAGGTTAGCAAAGTGACATTCCGGGACTACATGCGACTTAAGAATTATAGACATTCCCCCACAAAAACGGCCATGAGAACGCCCCTTGTTACCTGACCTGGAAAATCATCAAAATGTAGCCAGGTCACGGGATCGAGGTGCGCGCCATACGCGGCGGCCGTGCGCCGCTGGGTGGCGCAGCGCCGGCGTGATGGCCCGCCTCTGATCCCGGTCCCCGAACAGCTGCTGCCGCGTCGGTCGGACCCCAGTGCCGGCCCGGGCCTCAGTTGACCGACGCCGCCCGGCCGGCAGAAGAGGCCGCCATGCCAACCGACGCCGAGCTGGAGGCGCGCCGACTCTGGCGGGCCGCTGACGCCGTCTGCTTCGACGTCGACTCGACCGTGATACGCGAGGAGGGAGTCGACGAACTGGCCAAGTTCCTCGGCAAGGCGGACGAGGTGGCGCAGCTGTGAGTACGTCGGCCGTTTTCTTGGGTACGCTGTCGTTGTCTCGGGTCTGCAGCCGTTGTCTGGGACCCGGCGCCGTTGTCTCGGGCACGCCGGCCGTTGCCTTGGACCCGCCGCTGTTGTCTTCTGGTCCTGATTTCGACGGCGGCATCAAATTACTAGCGTTGGTACTGGATGTGACGATTTCTTGCGACCGGGTGAGAAGGGGGAAGGGGGATAACAGTCAACTTCAAAAGACCGTTTCATAACCGAATTGTTGCAATCAACTTTAATAGCTTTTAATGTAAACCAACTGCATGCCACATGCTTTGCTGATTGTCGATGAGTAACACCTACTTAGATTATTATCATATGCCGACGTCGCGGGCGAGTGTAAGTCTTTTGCAAGACCTGTCACATTTCTAGCTCTCAACCGGAACGACGACCAGTAACCTCAGTACGCGACTTTGCTGCCACTATTTTCAGGTGCTCCGGATGCTGACTACGTAGTGTTAAGCCTTGTGGCTTGTCTTGGTTTTGATACATGATTGGATGCAGCTTATTCACTGCTTGCTGGCCATCGACGCGAGACTGCGTGCGTCTCTGCTTCGGGTCATACATTCCGGCTAAGCGCGGGAGAGTCCCTGAGACAGCTGTGACGACGCTAAGACCGCCATGACGTCCGTGAGACGGCAGTGACGTCGCTGAGACGGACGTCACGTCCCTGAGACGGCCGCGACGTCTTTAGACGGCTTTGGTATCCTTGAGACGGCCGTAGCGTGCCTGAAACGCCCGCAACGTCCTTGAGACGCTCAGAACGTCCTTGAGAGGGTCGTGATGTCCCTGAGACGGCCGCGACCTTCCTGAGACGTCCGTCGCGTACCGCTGAGGCGGTAGTGTCGCCCTTGAGATTACCATGTCGCCGCAGAACGGAAAGCTCAATGTGCGGGACGATGGACTTGCGCAGCGCCGTGGAGCGCACCCTGGCGATCCTGAGTCCGTCCCGGCAGGACATAGCGCGCTTCCTCGGCGTCCGCTCCCTCCCACTCTCACCCGGCGCCAGGTGAGCCGCCCCGCGCCGACGGGAGACCCCTCCTTCTCCGGCACGCTCCCGTGTTCAACCCGGCCGAGTGGGTCGTTGTGAGGCCTGGGTGGAGGCTCGGCGCCCGCACAAGCCGTGGTGGCCGTCCGTCGTGTCGTTCCGGTTGTCTGAGGTGACAGTCGGGACCGGTGCGTCATTTCCTTCTGTCTGGGCGTGGTTTGTGAAGAACCGGTGTTGCATCGTGCTCGTAGTCAGGAGGTGTGATAGTATGCAGGCGATAGGCATCCACGGTGACAGACGAGTGCCCCTCTCTCTCCCTCCTCACCCGACGCCCTCCCAGCACGCCTGACCGCGGCTGTCCCAACGGCCACCAGCACGGGATCGGTAGACGTGTTATCGGCACCCTCTCCCGAACTGCCGGGTCACCGCCCCGAGCTCGTGATGGCGGGCCGCGTGCGGCAGCGGTCAGAGGTCCTGCACGCCGTAAGGATACCGGCTCACGCGGCTGCTTCCGGCCCGTTCGCAGAACGAAGCATGCCATGAGTGGCGCGCTCGAGTTCCGCGCCGCGTTGAGCCAGCGGTTGGGCCTGCTGCGGCCGTCCCGCGCGGCTCTGCTCGAGTTCACCGAGCGGCAGCAGCTGACCGTGTCCCCAGGTATTAGGTGAAGTACCCTCGTCGCCTATCTGCATGTCCTGTGACGCGGTTCGTCGCGTGGCCCACGCTGGTGTGGCTCTGTCGCTGCCTGGACTCGGCATACCGTTACGTATGTGGCGATCAAAATTGCATCGCATTCGTGGCACGTGCGTGATGTTTATGTGCCGGCTGCCGGTGCCAGCAGTATCGCAACCCTGCTCCGGCAGTTCAGCGGTAGCTGTGTTCCCTGGACCGGCGGAGCATCTCGACTGCGTCTTGTTCAGCCACAGCGCTGGCTTGTGTTTGCCGGGAGGCCGCTGCCTGCTAACGCGTTGCTTCCGGTTTTCGCCGGGGACCGCCGCCCGCGTGTGTCGGCCGCACAGCGCCGCGTCGCGCGAGACTGCGCCCGCGGGCGCCGTCTGACGCGCCTCCTCCGGCTCCAGCGAGCTGGTGCTGCTGCTGCAGCGGCGCGGCGTGCGCGTGTTCCTGGTCTCCGGCGGCTTCCACTGCCTGATCGCGCCCGTCGCCCGGCTGCTCGCCATCCCTGAGCAGCACGTCACCGCCAACAAGCTGCTGTTCGACTTCGACGGTGGGTGCTCAACACCAGCGGCCCGCCGTACGACTGGTGGTCCCGGCGGGCTGTGCAAACACGAGCCCGCCGGATAGGGTGGCTCTGGCCGGCCCAGGATAGGGCATTCGAGGATTATCATCCAGGATGTCCAAATATCGTGCTAAATCGTGTACTGCTGTGGTTAGTAGTCATGCCTCCCTGCGCCGTCCAGTTGGTTTTCACCGGCTACATTGCTGCCCTTGCTACAACACATTCACGGTCTTGACTGCCAAGTAAGTGCTCCTGTTAGACAAATCTGAGTGTAGGAGGCAACACCGCTGATTTAACAGCGCACTTTTTTAGATCAGATTTGGGTCGCGCTGTGCTATTATTTTGTTTACGAGCACCTATGGTGCCGTGGCCAAATATGGTCATTGTGGTTTAGCAAAGCGTCCAAGTCAGTTTTACCCAAGACTGTCAAAGGATTAAACCGCCTCAGCATCTACATGCCACCCGTCATAGCTGGAATGTGCTGCACGAAATATCATACAACACACCTTTTGAATTTACCCGCCTAGCAGTAACAGTCTAAGTTACATCGCAGGACGCCAAAATGCGCAAAATGCGTGCCGACACCCGATTTCGTCATAACCGTCCCGTCGTGGATCATTAAGTCGGTAACATCCCCACCTGCAGATCATTAGCGCACGGGCTGTGCTCTGGTGCAGCTGTCTGTAATTGAACTGTCGTGCTAGAACAAAGCGACACACCACTCATTAGCATCCCTGTTGTCGAATGCAGGAGCGGCTCCACATATTTTGTTAAAAGAGCGTGGGGCACAAAACCCGAAAACCAACGGAATGTAGTTCATCCGCCACGCGGTAAGGATCTTGAGCGTATTTGTTTCAGCTCAAATCCAAAACTTTTGAATGTCTAGTTTGCCTGGAATCAGCGCCTGTGTCAGGCGGTGCGTACAGGCTGGTATGGGCTCAGTTGACTGACCGGTTGTGTTCGAGTTTGCAGAACCCACGAGTTCGGCGAAAGGACGGTGCACACAAGGGGGTTTCCGGCTTCAAAAACGGTCACCGGCATTGAGCAAAATCTGTTTGTTGTGAATGTCACGCTGAGGGTACGGGCAAGTTTGAGAGTTTGGCTACTCTGGCGCTAGTTTTTTTTAAAGCGTGAAGCCGTTTGAAGGGATTGCGTTTTCCTAATGTGATTTTGTTTTGCTCATGGCATACACAAAAGGCTCTGGAATGTCCTCTCGCCTCGTACAGGCCGTGGTTTTTACAAATGCCTGATCTTCTACAGGATTTTGTCTTAAACATGGGCACGAGGGACGCCCGGCACCCATACGTACTTACCATGACACTCAAGTCGTAACACTGAGGCTTTGTGCTGCGCGCCAACTCCGTGTAGGAGATATGACAGCTCGATCGTCGTTCACATTGGCTGCGCTTGTAAAGCTAACTTCAGCGATTGCCATTTACTCGCCGCCCCAGAACTACAGCTCTGGCAGGTCGTTCTCGTGATACCCAGGCGGTTGTTCAGCCCGGAGAAATGCTCGTCAAATGGAAGGCAAGCCAGGCTCGCGTTTCGGGTCTGTTTTCGTGCCTGCAATCGAGGTGCGATTAATATCACTGTGATCACTCCTTGTGATCTACAGGGAACTACGCGGGCTTTGACGAGTCGCAACCCACGTCGGCTTCCGGTGGCAAGCCCAAAGCCATCCAGCGACTGATCGACGAACACAAGCTTCGGTGCGTCGCCATGGTCGGAGATGGCGCCACCGACCTCGAAGCCGTTCCGCCAGCGCACGTGTTTATTGGTAAATAAACATTTTAAAGGGCTCGAGGCTCTTCCGCATGATCGAGAGCATTATGCGAGCCCTTAACACTAAGCAGACCCTGTAGACGTGTCACAAGTTACTGAATTAAATGTCACGTGCCTACCAGTAATGTGTGAAGAAATCCGCCCAGATCGCCCCTTGGCTACAGCTGGGTTGCTTTGCGGAGGCGTGTGACGCCCGGGCCGTGTAAGACCGTGGTGGGGCGTTCGTGTTGTAACGGCGGCGCCGGCAGTCAAGGGTCCAGCCGTGTTGAAGTTTCCGCGCAACAGTTGGTGGGAGATCACGACAGCATTCGCCACGAATGCGTAACGCCGTAAAATAAGAGGCGTCGGTATGATCCAACTTGTCGACGGGTCGATGTTACCCGAAGTTACTGCTCGATTAGAACATGCGCCTCAGTTGCATTCTGCTGCCCATGATGCTGATGTGAAGTATTTTTTGAGCGTCACCTAAATTTTTCGCTTCCCTCCAGCTTAAGGTCTCCACCCTTTGCCTTGAGTACTAACGCGTGGGGCGTCATAGTTGTCACCCTAGCATATTGAGGGTCGGATAGTTTCAGCATCAGAACCTAAACTGCCGGAAGCCAGGAGCTCGACGTTTGTCACGCTTTAGTCAATATCTCTTATCAGTACATCTATCACAAGCACAAATTTGTTACCGCCCTCAGCAACTGGGCCTATTTCACCGCCTGGCCGCTGCCCTTATGTGCTCTCTTCATGCTGCCAGATGTGTGACCCCGCCGCTGCCCTTGTGTGCTATCCTCGTGCTGCTAGATGTGTGACGTCACCACGGTTCTCCACCCTGCCACTGCCCAGGTGTGCTCTCCTCATGCTGCCAGATGTGTGACGTCACCACGGTTCTCCGCCCCACTGCTGCTCTTGTGTGCTACCCTCTTGCGGCCACATTGTGACGTCACCACGGCTCTGTCCGCTGCTGCCCTTGTGTGCTGCTTTCGTGCTGCCAGGTGTGTGACGTCACCACGGTTATCCACCCTGCCGCTGCCCTTGTGTGCCATTCTCGTGCTGCCAGATGTGCGACGTCACCACGGTTCCCCGCCCGCCCACAGGTTACGGCGGAAACGTGGTACGTCCCGCGGTGGAGGCGGCCGCGCCCTGGTTCGTACGCGACTTCCAGACGCTGATCGAGGCCCTCGCCGACTGACGGCCGGGGAGCGGCGTCGCCAGTGTTAGAGAATCTCGCGCGCCCGACCACGCGCCGTAGTGTCGGAGTGACTGTAGGGTAGTTTGTAGGCTGGTGCGCTCGATCGCATGGTGATTACATTGCTGGGGCATACTTAAGGGCAGGGGCTCTGATATCAAGGTGTCTTTAGTGAAGATCTTGGTGGATGTAACCAATGCTAAACGTCAATGGTTCCAATTTCAAAGTGTCTTCGGGGAAGAAGAGCTTAGCAAATGTAGCCTGGATAGTTATTGATAGTGTATTGCAAACAGCCATGGTTCAGGCTGGCCGGATGCGTTAGAGCTGTTGGACAACCTTTCCCAGCCTGTTTTGTATGTCATGCATATATACGCAGTACGCTTCCTTCAGACATATTGGCCATGAAAACCACCACATCAGTAGGACTGCTGGTCGGCCATGTGAACCATCACATCAGTAGTACTGCTGGTTGGCCATGTGAACTATCACATCAGTAGGACCGCTGGTTGGCCATGTGAACCATCACATCAGTAGTACTGCTGGTTGGCCATGTGAACCGTTACATCAGTGAAACTGCTGGTTAGCCATGAAAACCATCACATCAGTAGGACTGCTGGTTGGCCATGTGAACCATCACATCAGTAGTACTGCTGGTCGGCCATGTGAACCATGACATCAGTGATACTGCGGGTTGCCTCCTTTGATCCATCGCGTTGTTGCGCGGTTCGGTGTACCAGATAGCGGTGCCATGACTTCGCAATACCGTTAACCACGGCCTATCTTGTACTTTACCACCACGGACACTGGAGGTGCCATACAAAGACTGGGCCTAGTTCATGCCGCAGTCCGCGGACCGGGCTGCGGTGTTGCGCAACACGTGACAGTGCACACCGCTTTCCGGAAGTGTTGCAGTCATAAATAGTGTTCCGTTGGCTGCACAGGTGCTTGCTCAGATTAAGCGACTTTCGTATTGATCAAGTGTCACGTAGCGGCCAAATGTGAGACGACCTCCCGTTGGGTGATGCTGAACGTTTTTCGCCACACGAGTGCCAGATCGAGCTGTCTTTCGGTAGATGGAAAGTCACGGGTTCGAACCAGTAGGTAGAATGTCAGCGTACCTGAGCTTGCAATACTGTGACGACGTGCGCGAGGAACTGTACAGTGATGCGTGCCCAATATCTCGTCCGCCAGCTGACGGCAGTGTGTGGTGCTTCCATTGCGCGGAGCGGAGGGGAGGGGAAATTGCGCTACCCGTGAATATATGTTACTCAGTGCATTCGCGGCGAACCTCGATCATGTGACACCAATCTACTTTATTCGTCGCCCTCATGGGGACGAACTACCTCAAAAGCTCCAAGATCTCTGAGACTCTAGGATTCATGGTTCTTAAGATTCACTGTAATGGGCCCGAGTTGCCTGTTTCGGGTATTCACGGACCTGCATAGCCGCTTTCGGGGCCTGGGGACATTTTTTTACTACCGACTTCAAAGGGCCTTCGATCGTTAAGATTGATATCCAGACCAGGGTTGCTACGGGTTCCGGTATCTCCCAGGGTTCATAAGGTTCTCAAACCACCAAGGCAACCGTATGGTTATGCCGTGCGCAGCAGTTCTCATTGCACCCCCTCGGGGTAGCGAGTGCCTTCCATCGCATCAAGACGCCACCACTCTTCCCGCAATTCAGTAGCCAACTAAGAAGCCTTCCCGAACGATGCGGTTACGCAGTGCCATGCGGAGTGATGCAAAATAGTCCAGGGACTCGGAAGTTAGCTGCCTGAAGTTAAGTTAAAAGTTAAGACTGAAGTTAGCCTTATTGAAGTAACGTCCGCCCAAGAGGTGATTGCAGCCACCGAAGCGAGCTGTTCCACTAGTCAGCAATGCTGGGACTCAGGGAGACAACCACTGTCTCAGTATGTAATGCCTCGCTTTCTTCCCACGGTCTCATTTGCAGCCACCGAAGCGAGCTGTTCCACTAGTCAGCAATGCTGGGACTCAGAGAGACAACCACTGTTTCAGTATGTAATACCTTGCTTTCTTCCCACGGCCTCAAAACGCGGGAAACAGCTTTTCGTCAGTTCTCAACTTTATTACGTAACTCGAATAGGCCCAGGAACGAACTGCAATCGATCCACTCGGAGGCATATCACGTGTTTTCCTGCGGCGTGCAGTGGCGCAGAGTTGCGGGAGGCCTTTGCACTCGGCTCTTGAGCGAGGGAGAGAGGAGGCGGTCTCTATCCCTCGGGTTCTCTGACGTGAGAGAGGGTTTGGTCGCCTGCGCTTGTTTTTGGTGCCCGCAGTTTGTCATCGCCTGCAGACGAAGCATTTGTGCACCTTGACATGTTGTGCAGACTTGAAGGCAGCGTGACGTTTGCAACATTGGTGTGCAGTGCATTCAAACTGACATTGCCATGTGGGGAATCGTGAATGGTGTACAAGTGCTTGGCTCAAACGACATATTTAGAAGTGAGCAAATATTCCATGATCAGTATGTGGGGAAAGGAGATCTATCATTCCATTGTGGTATGCTGTATGTGCCTTGTGTTTCAGGTATTTCTAAGAGTTCTGAAGCATTTGTGTCTGCTCAAGACATCTCACCTGTAACTAAAGCCACAGTCTGCAATTCTCTAACTTTATTTCCTGTTAAAATTTGTGTGAGCTCAGAGCTTATGGCAAGAATACCTGCAGCTCAGGATGAAGCAAGTAACAGTAACCCTCACCAGCCAGATGCAGGAGAAAGCAAATCAGATCTTGGAATACCACCAAAAAACTCTGGTGATTATGGTAAGTTCACTTTTTTCTAACTGTTGTGAAGTGACATGAATTGAAATGCCCAAGAGAAAGCATTTGATATCTGTTGGAGCAGATTCATCACAATTTTGCACCACGCCCCTTCAATTTATGTAATACAGCACATGAATTAAAAACAGGCATACTTCAGCCAGAATAGGTGGTTTCACTGAAATATTTCATGGTTGCTGTTGGTGGACTTCCCTTCTCCTTTGATCACAACACTACAAACAGAATGTGTAATATGGTTTTGCTCACAGCCCTGGTCTGTTAGCACTAACTGTTGAATGGACAAGAGTATATACCCTGCCACATAGTCAGAAACATGGTTGTAGAAATTGATCTGACCATAAAGCAATTGTGTATAGTTTTAATTTGTGGGCAGGGCTGGAAAGGCTGATAAAATCATGAGGCTTGCTGTCATGATCTACAATTATAGGGCATGTGCCCTTTCTTTAGTGTGTCATTGCTGTTGGCATTTGTACCATTCCTCAATTGTCACCATTGTTGTCATTTCAGCTTTGCATTACACTCAGCTGACTCTACCGCCTTGCTATAGATCACCTCAAAGTCCTCTTCCTTGTATGTTTATAATGTTCTTATTTATATTCTTTAATGCATGATAGCATGTGCTGTTTGCATGGTGGTCTATACCAAATCCAGTGAGACTGGTTTAGAGTGTATGTATTCTTAAAGCCTTGCTTTGATTGTAATAAATTGGTGTAGGTATAGGATAGCAGAAATTTGTGTTAGGTGTGCTCATCTAGACACTCTGTAATATGTTCTCGCAGCAAAGACTAATATGGCGGGCTGTGAACACAGCTGTTCATGACTTGGTTATTTTAAGGAGCTATTTGAGGCAGTCATGAAGCTAGCAGGTGTAGTGCCATCTATGAATCATAATGATGAACTACACATGCTTTTTCCAATAAGCAGTTTAGCATGGAGTTTATTGAGCTGAGAGACCAAACACTGCTGCTTCAGTGATGAAGAAAGTTTGTTGGCTTCAGGAGGTTGCAAATTGAGACAGGTTCGATTACAGAATGGTCATACTTATGTCAGGACTGCACACAGTCTATCAGCAGACAATGGTTGGAGTGGAAAGCTATGCTGAACTACAATGGTTGTGCCAATACAGCACTTGGATCACAGAAAGAGCCTCTTAATAATTTACCATGGCATAAGCCTGGAGCTGAACCTCAATCATTAATTTATGTACCGACTTGGCACTTCAAGTGCATTCAAGTGGAAATAATATTCTGATACTCTGATACTGTATTGGATGCAGGCATGCAGTCCATCAGACATAGTGTGATGTTGATTATTCATTTTCAATGTGACAGGTGATGACATCACTTCCCAGAGGTCAGCATCTCATTCAGTCTTAACTGTTACATAGCTGGCTCATAGTACCTGTACATGGCAAGTACCTGGCACACCAGGCAGCCCCAGCTGTTGCCCAAAGATGCACCACAGAAACCTAGACACCAGGCAGCCCCAGCTGTTGCCCAAAGATGCACCACAGAAGCCAAGACACCATGCAACCCCAGCTGTTGCCCAAGGATGCACCATGAAAGCCAAGACACCAGGCAGCCCCAGCTGTTGCCCAAAGATGCACCATGGAAGCCAAGACACCAGGCGGCCCCAGCTGTTGCCCAAAGATGCACCTCGGAAGCCAAGACACCAGGCAGCCTCAGGTGTTGCCCAAAGACACATCACAGAAGCCGAGACACCAGGCAGCCCCAGCTATTGCCCAAAGATGAGCCTTGGAAGCTGAGATACCAGGCAGCCCCAGCTGTTGCCCGAAGACGCACCATGGAAGCTGAGACACCAGGCAGCCCCAGCTGTTGCCCGAAGACGCACCACAGAAGCCAAGACACCAGGCAGCCCCTGGGCGATTCACTTGCCGTCGACTACAAGCTCATCACCTTAGTAGTCACTAGCTCACCACATGCTGGTGCCTTGTTTAGTTCCTCCTTGCCATTCATGCCACTTCATGCACGTCTCTGTGCTCCGTCGCGAGCTCTGGAAGAAAAACAATTTCCTATGAAATGAGTGGCGTTATTTCTTCGCTTCCTGGATAGGAGTGCCAATTTTGAAGTAAGACCTAATGATCTGGAAATGAGACTGCCTGGCGTATTCGAGAGCCTCCCATGTCGCCCTAAATTACTGATTTTTGATGAAAACAACTTAGCACATCGCATGCGGCTACGTGGTGCTGTATGCGCAGCAAGTTTCAACAACTGAAGTTCTGCCCTGGGCCAGAACCTGGTAGTCTTGGCATCAGACACGTGGCTAATTGCGTCATAAATCTTTGATGATTGTCAACCCATACGGGCAGGCGTGAGTGATCTCTGTATTGCTTGCTGACACACAACACCGCACGCCCCGCATATTGGCCCGTCAGTGTCAGGAGGGTCATTCCGTAGCTTTCTTTTTTAGACATTTCTAATATGACTGCGCTCGCAGGTGTGTTTTGTATCAGCCCCGTCAGCTGTTGAGCATCGACGACGTCGCTGATTCTGATCGACGTTTCCGTCGGGGAACGGTGCCAGAAGACCGGCCGCGGGATCCTGGTGCGAAGGCACTGTCCGGGCATAGTATAGGGGGGTGTTTTAAACTGAATGACGGCATGCAAGCCGACAGGAAGCGCGTTGTTTGAAGCTGCGTTTTCCCATTCTGCGTTAGTTTGTTTGGTAATGTTTGCGTATCATTTCGCAGCACATTTACAGAGTATCATCACTGCCAGAAATATGATCGTTTTTAGCCTCCTTGCTGTCGTCATCAAAGATTCAAAACTGAGGTAGGTTTTATGGCTCGAAATGTTGCTTGACCCCCACCCCCTGTGTGAACAATTGAAACATTTTGGTAAGTCGCTGCTCTTGGATTGACTTTCTCGCCCGCGTTCGGGTGCACAGAACACAAGGGTACTTGGTATGTAAGAACATATCATCTATCCCCACATTTGTGAAACCAGGCCTTATTCGCTGGGCCACTGGTCTTTTAGGGTCGTGCTCTCATGGCTGTAGTTTTTGTTTTACTCCGATAGCTTCTCGACGAGGCACGCGCACTGTAGGTTTTCTGCCTCAGTAATTTTGGTTGAGTGTGTTGTATTTACATCGCGGTGTTTCGTTTCTCATCTCTTTTGTCTCGGTCATGGTCGTGACGAAGTAGTTGCATTTCCACAGTCGTTCTTCAAAAGTCTAAGCTGCTTTCCTGCGATGGTTCGCCGGGATTGTCGGCCTCTTCTTCACAGTTGATCGCCAGTAGTGTGGACTCTGTCCCCGCAGTTGATCACTAGCAGACCATGCCTCATCTCCAGATCACATCGTAGACGAATTTGTCATCAGCAGTGTACACCTCGTCTCCACAGTGGATCTTGGGCAGTCTCAGTCTCGTCCCCAAGGCATCTGCAAACCGATGACTGTGTCTACAGTCGGGTGTCGACGGTGGGAGCGGTGACTCCACTGTCGTCAGTAGTCTAGCATCTTCGTGTGATGGACAGCTGGGCCAACAGTCGGAGCCGTGTCGTCACAGCCGGCCCACGGTAGTCGGAGCCATGTCGTCACAGCCGGCCCACAGTAGTCGAGGCCATGTCGTCACAGCCGGCCCACAGTAGTTGGAGCCGTGTCGTCACAGCCGGCCCATAGTAGCGTGAACCCGCGCAGCACCGCTCCCGGAGTGACGCGTCGCCAGTCCGGACCTCGCCCGCACTGGCGGCGGTCAGCAGTCTCAGTCTCGTCGCGACAGCCAGTCAATAGGCTCACCTGCCACTCCACCACACGTTATCAGCCGCGTGGCTTTCTCTCTACAGTCACTTGTCAGCAGCAGGAAGCTCGTCTCCCTAGTGGGACGTTAAACGTTCGACCGTTTTCTCCACATTCGGTCTTCAGCGTGAACGTCGTCTCGGCGGTCGCTCGTCAACAACCTGGTCAGCCCGGCCTGGTCTTTATTCGGTCGTCAGCAGTTTGAGCCTCATTTCCGGAGTATGTCATCGCAGTTTGAATGGCATCTCCACAATCCACATGTTGTCGTCAGCAGCCTTATCTTTGCAGGCGGTTGTGAACAGCTTGAATATCCTCTCCACAGTCGGACGAACAATCCGCGCCCCGCCTCCAGAGCCGAGCGTGAACAATTCGAATCTCAACTCCGCAGACTTGGTCAACAGTCCCTCCCCACAGTCCGGGCTACCGCCCGAGGCGCCGCACCGCCGCAGCGAACCTCTGACGCGGAGATCCTACGGAGATGGCACGCGGTGTGTTTGCGCCGTCGGGTCGGCACCTGCCTCGGGATTGGCCTGCGCGCCGGACACACCCCCGTATCGACCAACCAGCGACGGCGGGCCTACGCTCGGCCGCGGCTCGGTGTCGACTGGCGGCGGGCGGGTCTTGCGGTGGCGCGCGTCCGAGGCGAGCCACTGCGCGCTGGCCGCCTCGCTGCGTGCCCGGTGTCCGTCGCTGAAGGACGTCCCGGCACGAGAGTGCCGTGCTGCGAGGGTGGGGACGCCGTGCCGGTGCTCGCTGGCGGTGTCGGCCGCTGAGGGACGTCGCGGCGCGGGAGTGCCGTGCTGCGAGGGTGGGGACGCCGTGCCCGTGGTCGCTGGCGGTGTCGGCCGCTGAGGGACGTCGCGGCGCGGGAGTGCCGTGCTGCGAGGGTGGGGACGCCGTGCCGGTGCTCGCTGGCGGTGACGTCGCGACAGACGGCGTCTGATCTCTCGCCACCAGCGCTGTGCGAGCGGCCATCTGGTGTCCAGCCCCTCGTGTGAGTGGCCCGGTGCCGTGATCCCCCCCCCCCCCTCCTTACCCCTCCGGATGTCACTGGAGACTGGGACGGTCGCGGCGCCGCGCTCCGACCGGCCGGCGCGGATGGAGCGCGCTGACAGGACCGGCATCGGCTGGCGCGCTCGCCGGCCTCGGGCGCTGGCTGCCGTGGCCGCTGCATGATGCATGGAATGGACTTACCTCTAACGTCAGCTGTGACATAATGAGCTCGTGACGGCTGTCCGTTAGATATTCGGATTCGGCACAGAGGCGTTGCGAAACAATCAGCCGGTCAGTCTTGGCGAAACTCCAACATGGCGGCCCGCATGATGAACGCGTTGATATTGTGGACACAGTGCAAACACTGTTCAGTGTTTTCTCTGGGTGTCGATGGTCGCATCGGTGCTGCCGATAAGCGTTTGAATGCACCCTGCCCAATCGGACCGAAGGCGTTCTCATACGCAGATGTTTCTGGGGCGGAAAATGCGACAGGGACAAATATCCACCGCCGCCTGGTTTTGAACGGGAGTCGGCCGTGTTATCGAGATCGGCGCGATCGTTGCTCCCACGTGGTGTTATTTTCAGCCGCGCTCAAAGTCCACGGCCGCGGCCGGCCTGCCAGCGCGCCGGCCGTGGAATCCGCCAGTCGCCCGCAGACGCTCCCACCCCGCCTGGCATGTCAGAGGCGGGGTCTTGTAGGCAGCCGTCCAGGCTGCGTGGTCACGGCTGTTTTGCGCTGTTTGTTTGTCTCGGCAGATGAATGATGTTCATGTCCTCGTACTTTGCACGCGGGTGTTACGCCTTGGGATCACATTGAGGCTATTAGGAAGCTGTGGATGTCGGCCAGACCCAAATGTCGGATCGATGTGGACTCACTGCTGACGCATGACTCGGCAAACGCGAAGGCATTATTCTATCGTATTTCTACGACTTCGGTGCGGAGCACTATTGAACTAGCTGGCGGATTTCTGTCGACTGCATCTGTGTGCCGCGGCCGTGAGCGCCTCGCGCCGCTGCCACCGGTGCGGGGATCGGCGACCGGCGACACTCGTCGTGCCGTCGCCGTCGCCGTCGGCGGCGCCCGAGCCGTCGCGTCCGACGCAGGCGTATAAATAGCATCGGGAGCGGTGCCAGCGCCGGCGGCGGCCGGCCGTCCGCTCGCCCGCCCGCTCCCCGCTCGGACGGGGACAGGGGACGCGCGACCGGCCGCCGCGCTCCCCCGCACGCGGCGCCGCCGCCGCCCCCGTCCCGCGCAAAGGGGCGCAAGGCTCGGCCGGCACGCACATGGCGGTGGCGGCGTCGGGTGACGCCGGCCCCCCTGGACGTCCGCTGGCCGGCTGCGTGGAGGGGAGGGCGCAGAAGCCGCGTGGCTCGCTCCGTCAGGGTCGCGCCGCAGTTGGCCGTGTTTGTGTGACGTCACACACCGCGTGTCCTCGGACGACGCCAGCGGCTCGGCGCCGTTGTGCCTGTAACACCCCGCGCGAGGTCTGGTGGGCGTAATGTTAATGAGGTGCCCGCTAGCCCGTCCTGGCGGCACCTGGCCGCGCGGGACGCTCGGCCGGTGACCTGTAGTTTTGCCCGGCCCTCTTTCGTTCTTGCAAGGGTGTTGCGCCCAGGCTTCTGTGCTCATTGAGTGTGCGGCGTTTTTTTGGCGATGCTATGATGTTGCTTGCCGCTCGTCATGCTGGTAACGTTTGGGCGGCGGTTTTTACAAGTGCTCGCCCTTTGCTCCGACCGTTTTTGTTTTCGTTGTGTGTAACAGACGCGGCCCATCGGGCCCGCTTGTTCGGCGCCGCTGTGGCGGCCGCTCTTTTCACTGGAGCCGTGACCCCGTGTTTGGATTGATCCGGTCCCACCGGCAGCACTCACGGCGAGAGGGCTGCCGGTGGGCGTATCGCGGCGACCTGCGCTGCGGGCGTCACAATGCGCTGTTTGCGTGGCCCGATCGTCGCATGCTCTGGGTACTGATGGCGGCCTTCCGCTGGCTCACCTCCAGACAACGCCGCGATGGAGACTGACGGAATGGAGAAGGACGGTGTAGAGAAGGCCGAACTGGAGGAGACCAAGGAGAGCGGCGAGAAGTCCGGCGAGGCCAAGGAGAAGGGCGGCAAGGACCAGGAGGTCGTCTTCATCCAGGATGTGGGATTCACAGTCAAGGTAGGTACGAGAAGGAGGCGAGGGAAGGGAGGGGGGGGGGGCGGCTTCTTTTGGTGACATCGTCTTTTCACCTGTTACTCGCTTCGACCCTTCTTATACATCAAAACACATTCTGTAGACATCTCTTTGAGGCACCGTCAATCAGGAGTCGTTATTCTGCCAGTGATCTATCTTTAATATATCCGAGCGTGCTGGTTAACAATGTTATCAGACGTGCCTTGGTCATTTCGAAATCAATACACCCGGTGGCCAATGCTCCCTTGATGACGCCGTCTAACCATTGCCCCCGAGTATATTGGATGCCGACAGCAAATTGTCAGAATAAGAACTCGAAGCTCATAATGCTGAAAAAACGGGAGGGAGATCATTTCTTGTTGATTTCAAATACTTCCTGAGGGCAGAGACAAAGAAGACCGTGAATCCTATGGTTTTTGTTTTGTCTCGTCACAGTTTCGGCCCGGGCATTGAAGTGCGGAGGCGTTTCCGGGCGATCCACGTGGCGTTTCGCTTAAAAAAAACTGGTGTCGCCTTTCATGGCCCAGGAGTGGTTCCAGGGTCAAATTGTGGGTGGCATGAAATGATAAACCGCGGTGTTTTCAGAAACGTCCATAAACAGGTTTCATCGTATTACTGAGAAAAAAATGTTGACTGACGTAAGTGCATGTCATCAAGTGCATCATAAACATTTACGGTATAGGTGGAGGACTAGATAATGTAGAGGATGTGTAAGGTTTGACTATGCCACGATGAAGCGACATCGGTGGCGAGGTAGGCACATGTTTTCCTAGATTATGCTTCTTAATCCTTCGTCAAACTCGCAATCGGCGCCAAGTGCAGCCATATTGCAGAGGCGGGTAAAGAGAGTTGTGGCGGCGGACCCGGAAAAATGTTCCTGAAGGGGAAGGAGGGGCAGACCAGAATTTTGATTTAAGAACCCGAGGCTGATTGAGAATGATTTACAAAGATGGGAGCCAAAGTGAGAATGAGAACGTATAAATGGACAGTCACATTTACAAACAAGCTAGGAGCCATGGGCGCTGCCGTTCTAAGAACTAACTTCGTGTTTCAGTGATATTTCGGTGAGATTTTCAGGAGAGGGTGGACCAAATTGTAATGCATAAACATGCGTCAGCTTTGGTTGCAACTCCCGCAGATCGACTCAGTGGCATGGGGGCGGCGAGACCATTGCATCATCATTATGCCCTGATCGCGATACTGCGACGCATTACAAGACGCGTGCGGCTTGACCTGATACAGGCATAGGGACAGGCTATCGTAACTGGTGGACACTGGTGGGGTCTGCGGCCGGGTTGGGCACAGGCTCCGCCCCTGTCCCCGTCTGGTACGGATGCTGTCGTGGATCATGTCAGCCGACAGACTTTATCAGCGTACGGAAGGGGAGGAGAGTAATGCCCATCCCGTGGCCCCCCTTTGCTGAAATCTCTGACTGCCTAATGTTGAGGGCATTCTTTGAGCGTAACGCATGATGACGCAAATTATCCCGGAATCGCTCGCCATTTGGTCCCGGGCTCACTTTGTCTGATTTGCTACAGAGATCACATGTTTATGTGTAGCTAGCAAGTGTCGTATCAGTGCGCCTTCGGTGTGGCTCAAGATTTTGACGAAGGTCAGTTGCACGCCAATTGTTCAGGTGACTATAGCGTAGCAGGCGTTCGCTGCACACCGGAGATGGTTCGTTTATCTAGCGGGATTTTGGTGTGCATGTACGAATGGTTGAGCACTCTACGATTATTTACGATTTAGTATTCTTATTTCGCTCCTCGGTATAAATGAGGTATTGACCTATAAACCGACTCGGGGTATGCCTTTTTGTTGATAACATGGCGTAGACGCTGAGCTTGTCATGAAAGTGGTGCCTTTTTTTCTTCGAGCCGGGAAGGTGTTTTGATGCCCACTGCGCGATGCCGTCCTGCCAGTCCCAGCTTTCGGGACTGATGTCTTCATCAGCATTCCTTTCGAGGGCACCGCCAAAAGACGACCGGTGCACCGCCTGCCCTGCGCCCAGTCAGCCCATCCGGCTGTTTGGCTGAGACCTCCCGCCCGGGATCCTCCACCGCGCGATGGGGAACGGAAAATGCCCACACTAGAGAGAGAATAGTGTAGAGAGAATTATTTTAGAGAGTAGTGTAGAGAGTGTAGAGAATATTTAATAATAAAATAAATATTTGTGTAGAGAGAATATTTCCGGAGGACTGACTTTTCCATGTTCGGTCAAGCGTGTCCGTGCCTCGCTCCGAACACCTTTGCTCTAGTCTGAGACTCGGTTCTTGAGCATTCCAGTAATACAGGGATGGGCGCGAATGACCACAGTAGTCGACGCGCCCTAAAACTCCAATGGACAACAGCAACAACAGTAATACAGGGCTCTACAGCTGGAGGCGAAAGGAACGGCGCACAGTTCGTCTTTCACCCGCGGCAGCTGTAGAAGTGGTGCTGCGGAAGACCGAGGTCGTCGGCTTGCTATATGACTGCAAAGTACTGGCAGGTCTCTAAGAATAGGAGGCTCTCTGACTTAAGTGGCGAGCTTGTTTGAGGCGGTTCGACGGTATAAATAGCTGGATGGGATGGGAACTGGCCATACGGGGCGACTTGAAAGGCAATGGAAATCGCAATGCCTCAGCGTGGGATCACGTCCAGAATATGTCACAACGTAGTAGCTGCGTGTTTTTAGGATCTACCCGAATTTACCTAAATGTGTACGAGCCCAGTTATGAGCCTGAGTATGTTACTTGAATCCTTTAGTCGCAAATATCCCGCATGGTAGCGGTGTGACGAAGTTGATGAAAAAGGACGCGTTGATGGAGAAGTCATCCATGGCCCCACCCCAGTCCAGTCCAGTCCTGCCTCGTCGAGGCGTCGCCATGTGGCCAGGCAAACCGGTGACGGAGGGTAACAGCTGCCAGCGATGACTTCGCCCCCCCCCCCCCCGCCCGCCGGGGAGCGCGGAGGGGGGATACGGCACCAGGTACATCGGCACCTCTGTAGTTTCACGCATTTGTATGAAAAGTGACCGCTGGTTACCTTCCGAATGGAGACATCTAGCATCTTTGATACATATCTCATAATCACTAATTCGCTGTCCAGACGCGACACAACATGATTTGTTTCGGTGCGTGTTAGGACTGGAATGTTCTTTCTCCAGTTCGCACAATCGTCAAACCTTTTCCATAAGTTCAATCCGTTTAGCCCGCGTGAGACGAAGAGAAACAACTTTTGTGTTAATGCATGCATGATTTTGAAGCTGTTGCCACCGAAGTGAACAATATTGTTTTGATGCTGCAAAGGTCCAGGGAGTTCAGCACTACCGCTGGTGAGGCTTGGAGGCCGAAGTGAGGTGATAATTGTAAGCGTAGAAATATGTTGCTTGTCCTTGTTTGCCTCTGAGAAACAAATATGAAACCCAGCAAGGCGCACAATAGCGATAGCAGACCAGCGAACTCTGTATTCGTTCTTATCTGACCTAGTTCTCGCATGTGCTCGAGTTTTGCCGTGAAGTCCAAGATGCAATAAATATCTACCAAGCGGTACCAGGATCGGACGTTGACAGGACGTAGGTAATCTTTGTCATTCAGAATCGCATACCTCAGTCGCCAAATTGTAGCGATTAGTACGACGCCCGTTGGTGCCTAGTGTGTGTGATATAAACACTGACTCGGTCGCGCAGAAACCAAGCCGTCGATTTTTCGCACTAGCTAAAGGTGTGCTGATGTTCAGCCGGGTACTCCTGCCTCCTGTGGGTGGGGACGTGGCTCAGACTTTCCATGGGGCAGAGGTCTCAACTGTCCTGGGGGCGAGCTCATCCGCTGTCGGTGAACGCCGCCGATCGACTGAATAGCCTGTGCCGTGCCCCCGAGTAACTTGTATAAACGTGTAGCCTGAGTTCGTGTCTCTCGCCAGAGCACAGCCTTCCATGGTCTGGTACGCAACGACCGAGTGGTGTGGGCTGTAGTACAGGGTCGTCCGCACCGAACACAGCCCATACTGAAGTGAAGTCCCAAAGTATGCCAGTGAGTCGGCATCGTCGCCGCCGGTCTGTGGGCGGGCCTCCTTGTACGGGGGTCCACCACGTGTCGTTTGGGGGGGGGGGCTGCCGGGCTCGACGCGGGGTGACTGGTGCCGGTGACTGACCAGCTGGTGCCGCCGCCGCAGATGTACGCGCCCGGACTGGAGCCGTTCGACATCCAGGTGTCGAGCATGGAGCTGGTGCAGGAGATGCACCAGCTGCTGATGGATCGCGAGGACACGTGCCACCGCACCTGCTTCTCGCTCCAGCTGGACGGCAACACGCTGGACAACTTCGCCGAACTCAAGACTATCGAGGGCCTCAAGGACGGCTCCAGCATCCGGGTACGCCCACGTCGCGCGGGCCGCCAGCCGCTCATTTAACAGACTCCGCCCAGGCCTATCGTACGCTGTCCTGCCCTGTCCTGCCCTGCCGTACCGTGCCCTGCCCTCCCTGCCCTGCCCTGTCCTGTCCAGATTAGTGCCTAACAACGTCAGAATAAGAACAGCGGATGATGAGCTGGAGGCCGGAGCAGCCAAGCCATCTTCAGCCTGGCTCCCAGCTACCGTGATCTCGTGGACGACAGCGAGGCAGTGTAGGAGGTCCGTCTGTCATGACTGATCCCAGCCTCGTGCTCCTAGCTGGGTGAGCGCGTTGACTCGGGGCGCTGGGCGTCCCCTGTCCTATGTCTCTGTTCTCGCCGGCCAGCGTTGGTCCCTCACGTCCGCCCCCGCCCCCGGCAGGTGGTGGAGGAGCCGTACACGGTGCGTGAGGCGCGCATCCACGTGCGTCACGTACGCGACCTGCTCAAGTCCATGGACCCGGCCGACGCGTTCAACGGCGTCGACTGCGCCTCCCTGGCCTTCCTCAACACGGTCACCAACGGCGACATCCTGGGTACGTGCCGGTGCTGACGTCGAGAGCAGGTGCCGTGCTGGCACGTGGCGGGATGCACTATGGAAGGGAAAGGTGGGGTTACTGCATAGCCGCTGCCGATGAAGAACGTCTGGACTGCAAGCCATCGACGATCATTGGAGACTCCGCCAGCTGCGAGAGGGTACCGATTGGGTTTGTTTGCTACCAGAGGGGACCTCTGGCGGCATCCATCGTCACCTTAAACCACCGCCTTTGTGTGAGGCCGTGGATCGCGTCAAAGCGCGAGGAAGCTTTCAGAGAACCGTCGACCGAGTTAGATGGCCGCAGCGAGGTAAGCTCTTGCCAGGCTTCGCCATTACACCGAATTGGTTCATAGGGCAGTCAGCCGGTCCAGTGCCGACCGCAGCCCCCCGGCCCTTTCGCGTACCCAGGCGGCCGGCTGCCGGTCGTCAGTCGTGTGCGCCTCTGGGGTCGGTGTGCGCGTGACCGCGGGAGCGACTGACGCCTGGCCCGGCCGTCGGTGCCCAGCAGAGAAGAAGAAGGGCCGGCCGGAGTCCGTGGACTGCACGCCGCCCGAGTACATCATGCCCGGCTGCCGGGAGCGGCCGCTCGTGCCGCTGATGCCGCAGGTCCGCGAGCAGACCGGGCCGCAGTGTCTCAAGGTGGGTGAGCTGCCGGTGGTGCCGGGCTGCTCGAGTGAAGCATCTGGCCATGGCTCAAGTTGGGCTCACGTAACTTGCGGGTTTGTTCGCAGCAACAGATGGTCTGAACGGCAAGATAGTGCGATTGCTTTTGCATAGATGCGGATGTTTGTAACTTCTGCACTTAAAGGGTTTAGTATGGTTGAACAGGCGACATTGTGTTTGGTGTCGACACGGGACTGATCACTGCGGCCGGCGCCACCCGTCGCGCGTCCCCGTGCTCTTCAATTTGGTGTCGGCAGGGTGGCGCCTGTCCTGACGCGCTCGCTGTTGGTCATCCGCTGTCTGCACGGACGGTGGCCGCCCTTCCCGGGCCTGTCCCGGCTTCGCATGGCACCTCACCATGCGCATGTGCCACAGCCTGTCACGGTGACTGCTCCTGGCGGTAGGTGCTGACGACCTCGGGCTGGAACCCGCCGCCGGGGCCCCGCCGGCTGCGTGGCGACCTCCTCTACCTGTACGCCGTCACCATGGAGGACAAGCGCTACCACGTCACCGCCTCCACGCGCGGCTTCTTCGTTAACCAGTGAGTGGCGCGAGCGTCGCACGCGGCATGTGCGTTCGGAGTGGAACCGGACGATTCGCCGCCGGAAGATGGTGATTGGCCGGCCTGGAGCGCGAACCGATGGCACAGGTGCAGTGGAACAGACGCGTGAAGGGGACGGTGTGGATGGCCGCGCGGAGATGGTGCGCAGTGCTGTAGTGTGGGTGTTTCTCGGGATGCTTTCATCACGTATCTGGACGGCACTGATGTTGGCGGCTGACCTTTCCGCAGTTTTCAGTGAACCGCGGGTGACCTGTGACCTCTAATGACCTGTGACCCCGGCTCATCCCGCATCCATGGCCCCCAGCTCAGGTATGAGGCTGGCTTGCCTGACTGGTGACCCCAACTCGCGTGTAACCTTTGTAACCTGTGACCCCGGCTCATCCCGCATCCATGGCCCCCAGTTCAGGTATGAGGCTGGCTTACCTGACTGGTGACCCCATCCCGCGTGTAGCCCGTGACCCCGACTCATCCATGACCCCAGTACACGTGTGAACCCGGCTGACTAGACCGTTGGCACCCCATCTCGCGTGTGACCTATTTAACATATGACCCCGACTCCGCCCAGCGCGTCCGTGACCTCGTCTGACACGAGCCGCGCCGGCAGGTCGACGGACGAGGAGTTCAGCCCCAAGCCGGCGTCGCCCAACTACCTGTGCCACTCGCTGATCGAGCTGATGGCGCAGATTTCACCCGTCTTCAAGCGCAGCGTCGCCTCGCTGCAGAAGCGGCGCACCGGGCGGCATCCGTTCGAGCGCGTGGCCACGCCCTACCAGGTGTACACGTGGGCGGCGCCGCCGCTCGACCACACCCTGGACGCCATCCGCGCCGAGGATGGTACGGCATGCTGGGCGCCACCGTCCCCCGCACGTGGCAGGGGCGTGCGCAGACGAGAGGTGCTGTGTCGTCCTAGACGTGAACTTGTTACTGAAGCGTAGGAGGTCGGTTTCCGTGATCGGTCTCACCGGCTGCGTTTCGACCGGGTGAAGAGGCTTTACGCGTGGACAGCGAACTTGTCATAGCATGCGCCTGAAAATGCTCGTCAGCTTCTTGGCCGCCTCCCCTGACCCTGGTGGTGTTCTGAAACCGCGCTTCGCCCCGGCAGCGTTCTCATCCAAGCTGGGTTATGAAGAGCATATCCCAGGCCAGACGCGCGACTGGAACGAGGAGCTTCAGACGACGCGCGAGCTGCCGCGGAACAACCTGCCGGAGCGGCTGCTGCGCGAGCGCGCCGTCTTCAAGGTGCACAGCGACTTCGTGTCGGCCGCCACGCGCGGCGCCGTGGCCGTCATCGACGGCAACGTCATGGCCATCAACCCCGGCGAGGACGCCAAGATGCAGATGTTCATCTGGAACAACATCTTCTTCTCGCTGGGCTTCGACGTGCGCGACCACTACAAGGAGCTGGGCGGCGACGCGGCCGCCTTCGTGGCGCCGGTACGTGGGTCCTGCGTGGCCGTGTGGTGCCGGCGCCCAAGAGGCGTCAAACAGCCGATTAAACGGGGCTTAGACGGCTGTTTGGGAGACGAACGTCTTTGATTGATGTGACACCCAGGTGGTACGTATTGCATGCTTGTTTCTGGCTATCTGCTCTAATTGCAACTCGTGAAGTCAACTTTATAAGTACATCTCATTAAGAAAGAAGTTAACTCCCGACTCCATAATGCAGGGGCAAATAGGTGCGTGTCAAATGATGACAGTAGGTTATCGTTAACACTGTAGGGTTGTAATAGTCCACTCTCAATTTTTTTTATTGTTTAAAGGTTCCCGTTTCCCGAACCCTGACACTCTACCAAACTCCACCAAACTCCCGGAGATCCCAGCAGCGGCGTGTCGCCCTGACACTACCGAACTCCACCAAACACCGGGACATCCCAGCAGCGGCGTGTCGCCGCGCGCTCCACCTGACGCCGCGTGCGCGTGTCCGGCAGCGGAACGACCTGCAGGGCGTGAAGGTGTACAGCGCGGTGGACGCCGAGGGCCTGTACACGCTGGGCACGGTGGTGGTGGACTACCGCGGCTACCGCGTCACCGCCCAGTCCATCATCCCCGGCATACTGGAGCGCGAGCAGGAGCAGAGCGTCGTCTACGGCAGCATCGACTTCGGCTCGTCCGTGGTCAGCAACAGCAAGTACCTGGAGCTGGTGAGTGGCGGGGCCAGCTGGTGGCGGGCCGTGCTGGCGGCTGGCCGGCTGGACGGAAGCCGGAGCATTCTCTCGCCAAGTTTTGTACAATGTTCCATATCCTCGACAAAGGCGGAATGATGCGGATGTTGTTAGCTGAACGAGGGGTTTGAATGCTGTGCATGTGGCAGGGCTGAAGAGCCTGTGAGGACACAAAAAGCTGCTGTCAGACAGAAACAGGCCTCCATTGAGCTTTTCAAGGACCAGTTGGATAACAGTGTAGGATATTTTGAAGGTGTTCCTGTTGTTGCCCTGCTTGCCCTGTGGGATGACTAGTACATCTGATAATAGCCGCGGGGAGGGGGGGGGGGGGGGGGGGTCAGCGGACATTTTGGCCGAAAGTCCTCCTCAGTACTGCACGCACTGAACAGGACTGTTTGTTGATCGTCCTGCTCTTATTAGGGCTGCTCACCGCCGCCGCATGCAGAATAAAGACCAGCAACTATCAGGGAAAAAGCTTTTCACATTCTGTCTGGACCTGTGGGAAAGACAAAACAGAACGTCGCAGGGTTTGTGTGTGTGTCTGTCGGCCGCATATCCTCGATTTCCTCTGTGCACTACATGGACCGCACCTTGACCCTTCCACTGCCCCGATATCATATCCCCCGCACAATGTCTCCCTGTTCTTTGTCATGTGTACGTACGTATAGTTTCCAACGCTGTGGGCCGTTTCCACGTCGCTGTGTGGCATACCCCCCCCCCCCCCCCCCTCGTCGCCAGCTGAGCAAGCCAGGCCAGCAGCTCAAGATCGCCACGCACAAGGTCGTGAACGACAAGGGTGAGGAGGTGGAGCTCTGCTCGTCCGTCGAGTGCAAGGGCATCGTTGGCAACGACGGCCGCCACTACATCCTGGACCTGTTGCGCACCTTCCCACCCGACGTCAACTTCCTGCCGCCGGAGACGACGCAGCTGGAGCTGAGCCGGGAGGCGCGCGCCCTCGGCTTCCCCGTCCGGCACAAGCACAAGCTGGCCTGCCTCCGCCAGGAGCTGATCGACGCATTCGTCGAGTGAGTGCAGCGCTCTGCTGCTGCGCGCGAGTCTCTCGCCTCTCGCGGCGTCCTCGGGCGTTCCTTACGCAGGCGGGCTTGTTGCTCCCTTGCTGTTGTTCTCCCTGTCGTGTGTGACGTACACGCGCCGAGCGATGCGTACATGTGTTTTATGGTGGAAACCGCCCATTATGGATTGCTCCGTTTATCTTTCTACAAGTTAACCCGATTTTAACGCAATTAATTGTGATTGTTCCGTTTTAGTTAGAGACGGTCTTCCTGTTAGTGCGTCAGGTTATGTCACTTCTGAGGGTGACCCTGCACACCTGTGATATACCGCCCCATGTGAGGGCGCGGCGCGTTGGAGGCATCAGTGCGCCGTGCCGCCGCCGCTGCGCGCTGACCCCAGCCGTCGTCTCCCCAGGAGCCGTTACATGGCTTTCATCAAGTTCGCCGCCAGTCAGCTACAGCAGATCGGTGACAAGAAGAAGCAGGAGGCGACCGTGGCAGCGCGCGCTGTCACCGAGGCGGCCGCCGCCGGCGACGCCGATCCCAACAAGGTGGAGACGGACGAAGCCAAGAAGATTGTGGAGGACATCACCGACTCCATCACCGGCCAGAAGAAGGAGAGTAAGTGCCTGCCGCGACGTGTGCTGACAAAGGCAGGGATATTGTTCGGAATTGCGCCCCCCCCCCCCCCCCCCCTGGGTCGTTTTGTCGCGCTTATTTTTAATCGTTCACACCATGGTAACGTTGTCCCGTATGAGTGGTTTCGATGCCCATACAGGTGCCTTGGTGACCCACTGTCAAATCTAAGGTGCACTATACGAGGCTGTGACACACTCGAGAGATCTGAGGCTGCCGAACGCCGGTCACCGGTCCGCAGCGCCGCCCACATTCCCGACCGCGTCTCCACTGCAGCCGACAGTCGCGTATGCGGTCTCCGCGACCCTCATCCCCGCCACCCCGCCGGCGCGGTCGTTTGACACACGCCACCCGGCGCCGCCAGTGGAGGAGAGCTCGGTGGAGATCGTGCGCCGCGCCGCCGCCGCCGTCGGCTCGCTCAAGCCGTCCGAGTTCGAGCTGCGCTTCAACCCGGACGCCTTCTCGCCGGGCGTGCGCCACCCGGAGGCGGCGGCCGAGCCGCTGCGCGCCCAGCGCACGCTCATCCGCGACGCGGCCGACTTCCTGTTGACGGTGCAGATCCCGGGCCTGGTGCGCGACTGGCTGGACCACTCGTCGGCGCCCCTGGACGGCGCCACGCTGGCCGAGGCGCTGCACGCGCGTGGCGTCAGCCTGCGCTACCTGGGCACGGTGGCCGACATGCTGGCCAAGGTGCCGCGGCTCGCCTACCTGCACCGCATCGCCGTGGGCGAGCTGCTCACCCGCAGCGTCAAGCACCTCTTCACCGCCTACATGCAGGTGCGGCGCCGCGCCGGTCGGCTGAGCGCGGCGGCACGCTGCGCGATCTCGGCGGGCCGGTGCTGGCGGGGTGTGCGTATGCCGCCCCGCGGCCGCTGCGGTGAACGCGAGCGCAATTGGGCTGCCTCTGTCCGACGGAACTAGTGCGGAGGGGAGGATGGCTGGGAAACTTGGTGCTAGCTTTCGCGCTTTGCTCCCGATTTTGTGGCATGCTGCCGCCGGCGAACGGGACGCCGGGCTCGTATGGTACGGATCTCAGTGATCAGTGACGCCGCTCTGTGTTCGTTGTGCTGTGAGGCGAGCGTCTCCATCTGAGGCGCCACCCATCTGGCGGTGCTACTGCCAACGCGGTGTTCGCATTGCCGAAGTGTAGCCGGCCGGCGCATATCTCGGCCCCGGCTCGTGCTCGCCTGACCCGCCCGTGGCCGGCCTCTGCCGCAGGGCGTGGACATGATGTGCCTGTCGGCGGCGGTGAGTCACTTCCTCAACGCGTACCTGTCGTCGTGCCAGCAGGCGCACCCGCCCCTGCCCGCCGACGAGCTGCAGCCGAAAAACTCCAAACGTGAGGCCCGCCTCGGGCGCGCTGGGAGCGGACACTCTGTGCGACTGTGGAGGGTTTTGTGTTATCATGATGGGGTTTGGATACTTCCCCGACTCAGTCAGGCATCCTGATAGTATGGCTGGTCGGAACTACTTATTGCCGTCGGTTGGCCGCCACGGTCTATCTAAGTGGTGACGATTCATGATGATAGTTGGGCTCGAGTGCGGGCGATGCTGTCCATTGGACATGCTTTGGCGGTCCGTCCCCCGATCATTTATTTTACGCACGCCTTCTGTAACGTCAGCATCGTTGGGCTCATTAAGCCCCCTGCATTGGTCACATGGCGTCCCAATGGGCACCATATGACCAATGTAGTTAACACACCCCTTAAACCTAAATCGTCATCAATATCACATCATTAATACATCCGTTTTTACAAGCGTGGATTGATACCTTGCATCTCTCCCTAAGCCCCGTTCTTGACTGACGGAGACAGTCCGAGTAAAGAGGTTCCTCGGCCCGCGCTATTGCGCAGCTCGACGATGCCGTTCTGTGACAAGGTCTGGGCCCAGCCCGCTGACCGCGCGCGTCGCCGGCCGTCGGCAGGGAAGAACAAGCGGCGTCCCCGGCGGCCGCTGACGGCGCCGGAGAGCAACGACTGGGCGCTGGTGACGCCGCGCAGCCTCTGGGCGCAGATCCGCGACGAGCTGACGCACTACTTCGGCTGGCAGCTGGCCACCGACGCCGTCGACACCACCGTGGCCAAGTACAAGCTGCAGAAGATCTCGCTCTTCCGGTGAGTGGACAGCGCACCGCCCGGCGCCCGGTGTACAAACACCTGGTGGATCGGGAGGGGCTGGGAGTGGTCGGTGGACTGTCGCTCCGCTCACACGGGAGCGGCTGAAACGTGGTGGCAGGTGTCATCGATGATCAACATTATTGAGCATGATGGAAGTGATTGATTATGCAGCGCTGGCTCTCGCTATCCTTGCACGCTGTTACAAATGTCATGCATCCACCCTGCTGCCCATGTTCAGCATGGGTGGACTGACCCGGCCATCGTCTCGTCGCTCCGCATCAGTCGCAGCAGACACCAGACTGGCGCCAGCCGCACCAGACACCAAGCAGCATTGCCAGACGTCGACGTGGTAGTGCCGTCCGTTTAGCCAGGTCATGCCGTCGGCTGTGTGCTGTCCCGTCTGGAGTTGGACTGACGCCGGGGTCAGACCGCTCTGCTGTCCTGCCTCACGCTGCACCCGCCTGTGCCGCCAGGTCGTTCTGCGTGGCCACGGGCGTGCAGCTGCTGCTGCGTGACTACAACATGGACGCCAAGAGCCGGCCGTGCTTCAGTGAGGAGGACGTGCTCAACATCTTCCCGGTGACGAAGCACATCAACCCACGTGCCTCCGACGCCTACACCTTCTACACCACCGGCCAGACGAAGATACAGCAGGGCTACCTGAAGGAGGGCCACGAGCTCATCACCGAGGCGCTCAACCTGCTCAACAGCGTGTACGGCGCCATGCACCCCGGTCAGTGGCGTGGCGGGGTGGGGCGCGGTTTGGAAAGGGTTTGAGTCAATAGCGATTAGGGCGGGGTTTTCGAGAGGGTTTGAGTCGGTAGCGATTGGAGGGGGGCTTGGGGAGGGTTTGAGTCCATATATTGGGGCGAGGGTTGGAGAGGGTTCGAGTCGGTAGCGATTGGAGCGGGGCTTGGAAAGCGTTGCCTGAATCAGTGTTTAAGGGACTTGGTTATGTGGGTCTGCATGAATATGATATTTGTTTGCGGAATCCAACGTGTCCAAGCTCTCCATGCCTCCTGTTTCGTTTGCACTCACAAATGCATGGTTGGGCATCAGGTAAGCAACAGTGATGGGCTCATGCACAGGTCCCCATTGCGAGCTGTGCCTACTTAAGTTTGCTGAAAGCGAGTGAAACGGAATATGACGAGCGCTGTGGCCTGTTTGCAGAGATTGCTCAATGCCTGCGGATGCTGGCCCGGCTCAACTACATCATGGGCGACCACCAGGAAGCGCTACAGTACCAGCAGAAGGCCGTGCTCATGAGCGAGCGAGTGAACGGCATCGACCACCCGTACACCATCGCCGAATACGTAAGTCGCGTCTCCCATATTGTGGCGAGCAATGTCAATTCGAGTCGATTGTAAATTGCAATGTCAAGCACTTGGGTGTTAGGGTGTGACAGTTGCAGTGTCGGATATTCCGCAGTGTCAATTCGAGGTTTCCAGCGGATTCAGGCGAGTCATTTGGCAATTAGCCCATCGAGTTGGGTGTTGGATACTGGTGGTGTTCAGCTTTATAGTCTTTTTAGGAAGACGGTCTGAGCAAAGATGCCGGCCTCCATCAGGTTTTGTTAGTTAGCCATCGTCGACAGTACAGCCGGGTGGCGATGTCCGTTTGTTTCCCATTTTCCCCAACTGTGGACGGCTCTTTTGGCGCATTTTGTTAGTGCTGCGTTGTACAGCGCCCGGTGCACGTGGCCGTAGCGTGACGGACCTCCATGTTGCAGACCCACCTGGCGCTGTACTGCTTCGCCAACGGCCAGGTGACGACGTCGCTGAAGCTGCTGTACCGCGCCCGCTACCTCATGCTACTGGTGTGCGGCGAGGATCACCCAGAGATGGCGCTGCTTGACGTGAGTCCCCTCCCCGTCCCCTCCGTGATTCCTGCGGAAGACTCCGCGACTGGTGCCGCTCCTTGACGTGCTGTCGGTGGTCTGCTGTCAGCTAGCCGAACCCCGTTCTGAGAGGCCATGTCAGCGCCATGGTGTTTTATCAGTTGAAATGTGTGATTACATTTACGTCATATTTGTTGCAAATCGGACCTGGTGACCTGAGTCGTGCAGGTGGCGGCAGTGTGCGGACGCGGCGCACGCGCTCAGCGGTCACGCTGCCCGCCGTCGTGCGTTGGTCGCCGGCGCCTCCGACCGCGGCCTGCCTCCGTCGCCAGAGCAACATCGGCCTGATCCTGCACGCCGTCGGCGAGTACAGCCTCAGCCTGCAGTTCATGGAGCACGCGCTGGTGCTGAATCGGCGCTACCACGGCGAGCGTAGTCTGAAGCTGGCTGTGGCGCACCACCTGGTGGCGCGCACGCAGAGCTGCCTCGGAGACTTCCGCGCCGCGCTCCACAACGAGAAGGAGACGTTCGCCATCTACAAGCAGCAGGTGCCGGCGGCGGGGTGGACTTGCGGGGGTGGGGGCCGTCGGCGCTGCCTGCTCGCGGTCGACGATTCTTCGCTCGTGATGATGGTAGTGCGATGGCTATCGTGAAGGATGCCGTGATGGTTGTCGGTACGAAGGACGGTCTGTGTGGGATCGCTGGCTGGAGGAGTTCGCCTGGACTGTCGTCAGCTGTTGCGAGTGCCTCGGATCCCAGCTCGCATGGGTGTTCTAGGGAATGCGTCTGCCTTATTCAACGTCACTGCCGCCGTGAGATGGCAGCACCAGAGCGCGGTCGGCTGACTGTTTGCTGCCGCGTCTCCAGCTGGGGGAGGAGCACGAGAAGACCAAGGAGTCGTCCGAGTGTCTGCGGCACCTCACGCAGCAAGCGGTCGTGCTACAGAAGAAGATGAACCACATCTACAGTGGCAAGGCTGGCGCCGCCCTGCCGCCCATCCAGATCCAGTCGCCCAGCATGGGCTCCGTGCTGGACATGCTCAACATCATCAACGGCATCCTCTTCGTCCAGATCAGGTAAGCAGGGGCCCCGACCGCAATACAGTCGGTGCAATCCAGTCCCAGTTTTGTGGACAACGGAACCCCGGTCGTCGTCTCATCAGGACACTGAACTCCTCATGCAGAGCATGCCGTACTTCAGCCGTCACCGGCGGGACGCTGAGACATCGCTTTCTCCCCGCAGCCAGCAGGACATCGAGAACTTCAAGGCCGAGTTCGAGAAGCGCAGCAGCCAGCTGCAGACTACGGTGAGCCGCCCGGCGGTGACGGCAGCGCCGGCTCCGGCCGTCAAGGTGGCCGACAGCGGCGCCGACTCTCCGCTCTCCTCTCCCGAGGGCAGCAGATGAGGCCCGCCCGCCGCCGGCCGGCAACGCCCGGCTCCGTACCGGCCCCGGCACTCTAGTTTTGATAGCTATTTTCGAGGCATCGCGTCGTGGTGCGGTTATCATGCATCATCAATCGGCGCGCTCGCGGCGCGTCCCTCACGAAGCGGCCATGCGCGCGCGCGCCTGTGTTCCAGGGGTGTGCTGAGTAGTGGTGCTGCGCACGGGATGACAGTGCAATGTTGAAGCCGGCCGGCGCCGCCGTCGGCTGGCGCGCCGCCGCTCCGGCACGGCTGTGACGCGCCGCGCCGCGCCGGGCCCGCTGGCAGCGCGCGCCGCCGCTGTCTCGTCTTCCACTGGACGGCGGCGCGCGCGGCCGGTGGGCGCCGCGCCCGGCCGCCGCCGCCGCCGGCGATGTCCCCTGAGCGGACCCGGCCGGCGGCCGAGCGGAGCCGGACAGCGGCGCGTCCGCCGCCGGCGGCCCGGCCGCTCCGTGGCAATAGAGCGGCGCCCGGCCGCGCTCGGGACGTCTCAGGGGGGCCTGGACGCCCGCTGTGTGTGAGTGACGGTGTGCGCGTGTGTGAGAGGCACATGGGTATGTGCCGTGGTGCTATCTGCCATATGCCCAACAATACAACGGTTCGAAGCAGGCCGGCGCGTGGACGGTGCGGCCCGCACAGCCAGCGGGGACCACCCTCGAGGCCAGGCTCCAGGCGGATGTATGGGGACTGCCATGGCCCGTTTGCGACATGTTTTCCGAAAGCGGGTTGGCCGGTATCGGTTACATGAATAGTGGCGTGGCGTAGGCGATGGTACACAGGCCAGCCTGAAGACAAAATGCAACAGCAAAGGTTTCCAAAATGCAACAGCAAAGGTTTCCGCTTATTGGTATCCAAAATTGTGACAATGCATTTTCTTCGACGTCAGCGTCCAATTGTCCGAGCCTGTACGGCAAGACGGTGTCATGCGATCCCATTGCCAATGTCTTGAGCATGCATTTTGATGCTTCCTTTACATAAAGACCATGTTCGAAAATTTTACTTTATTTGTGATTTACAGCTGGGCACATTTTGAAGTCTGCGTCTTGGACCTTCCGCGACGCAGAGAGGACTCTTAAGCACAGCTTACAGGTGTGAGGCCAGATTGCTGATAACATCAAGACCGTGGGCGTGATTGTCGTCAGTGTTGACCGGATGCAGTACATCGCACTGCGCTACACCCCATCACTTTCAGGACCTTTCCAGCTGGTAGTATTGTGGAAGCAGATGAACCACCTTTGGCGCTGGGGACAACATGCGGGCACGCTTCACAGCTGACTCATTACCTCAACGGTTCGACTCAGCAGTTTGTTTTCGCTTCTTACAGGAAACCTTTTTTTGCGCAGTGGAAGGCTGTATAGGAGCCCATTTTGTGTGGAAATGACGAAGATGTTCTGAAGTAGCGGCGTTAGTTTGCGTGGTGTGCCAAGGTCGGGTCACGTGTTGGCCGTGGGAGCTAGTTTTACCAAATGTGGAAATCTCCCTGTCAGGCATAAGTACATAGCACTTGCTGCGCTGCTACGTCAGATCGAGGGCTCCGAAGTATATTGCGTCGTACGTGGACTTCGAAACCACGCATTCAGATGGCTTAATGGGAAAGAGGGAGTGGACTCGACGTTTGCGTGTCAAGCCTGTTTTTTTTTTCGCTGCCGAAACGCTTCGGCGTTTACGTTCTAGATGGTCGTAACTAAAAAGGCACTGAGTTGCACCGAAGTCGGCTAGGACTTCCCCCACATGTCCGGCTGTAAGAACACGAAGCTGTAGACTGACGACGTGTAACTACCAACGCCCCTTATTGATAACGTTATTAAGCCTTCTGTCAGCGCTGTACCTTGCGGGGAAGGCCGTCGTTCTTCGTTCGACACCGAGCCCTGTGGGCATCGGATGTAATGAGCCTGCTGACGCGTCCGCAAAGCGAGTAGCGAATGCCACCGCCCATACCCTTTTTACCCTTGCTGGCCAGAAACTTTTACCTAGCCATCACGGCCTGAATAAAAGGAAAATGGGAACGCTGCTGGGGTCAGACAGCCAATAAGCTTTAAGCGATTAAGCCACCGTTAAGGCCATGGAAGTAGAAATTTCGGAAAATAAAGCACGAAGAGGCAACCTGCAGAATAAGAATTGGCTATACCTACGCGACATAATAGGACTTGTGCGGCGGAGATGGGCCTGATGCCCTTGGTCCGTAATCATTAATTTCGTTCGCCACTTAATTTACAACGAACACAGTTCAGTGAAGAGGGGTTACTTCATCTCGGACGAGATGCTCCTTGTCTTACCCATTCTGACATTTTTGGTGACGGTTCTTGCTCGCTTGCCCTGGGTCACCTATGTTCCTCTCTAGCGGCAGACAGGATTGTCAGTCATTGACGCCCTTCGGCAGCGGTTTAGCGTTGTGTAAGCGCGGGCATGACGGTCGGCGCGCCGTAAAACGCTAAGCATCATCGATGCAGTGGTGCAGTAAAGTGAACCTGAAATTAGCATGTTCCGGCTATGGGCCAACGGGCGATGCCACTGGCCGGGTGCCCTCCTTCCCGGCGATAACTTGTGGGCCATATCCTTTGGCATCGCGATTGCGTCGTATTGAATAGACAGGGCAAGCGACATTAAGGAAGGCCTCAACGCTAAGTATGGTTATAAGGTCCACCAGTCGGCATGCGGACAATCACACCACGATTTATGCACCCTGGGGAAATAATTCATGGACGCTCCTGAACCATAAACGTGCTCTATGATTGTGCATATTCTGATCGCTCCGCGTGCCTCGGAATGACGAGCGTTCAGCTCAACGGCCATTGCAATTGAAAATTTCTAAAAATAAAAAAAAAACATGACGGTAGCATGCAAAATGAACTGCTATGCAAAACAACGCCATAGCAATTGCTGATGCGCCCTTACGACGCACGTGATGTGGTAGGCCATAAGCGTCGGGCGGCGATGGGACCAGCAATCGACTCATCCGTGACCTGCCCCGACCGTGCGGTGATCAGCAGGCCAAAGAAACACCCCGCCATCTAAACCCTGCAGTGATCAGCAGGCCAAAGGAACACCCCGCCATCTAAACCCTGCAGTGATCAGCAGGCCAAAGGAACACCCCGCCATCTAAACCCTGCAGTGATTAGCAGGCCAAAGGTCCACCCCGCCATCTAAACCCCGCGGTGATCAGCAGGCCTAAGAAACACCCCGCCATCTAAACCCTGCAGTGATCAGCAAGCCAAAAGTCCACCCTGCCATCTAAACCCTGCAGTGATTAGCAGGCCAAAGGAACACCCCGCCATCTAAACCCTGCAGTGATTAGCAGGCCAAAGGTCCACCCCGCCATCTAAACCCCGCGGTGATCAGCAGGCCTAAGAAACACCCCGCCATCTAAACCCTGCAGTGATCAGCAAGCCAAAAGTCCACCCTGCCATCTAAACCCTGCAGTGATTAGCAGGCCAAAGGAACACCCCGCCATCTAAACCCTGCAGTGATCAGCAGGCCAAAGGAACGCCCGCCATCTAAACCCTGCAGTGATTAGCAGGCCAAAGGAACACCCCGCCATCTAAACTCTGCAGTGATCAGCAAGCCAAAGGTCCACCCCGCCATCTAAACCCTGCAGTGATTAGCAGGCCAAAGGAACACCCCGCCATCTTAACCCTGCAGTGATCAGCAGGCCAAAGAAACGCCCCGCCATCTAAACCCTGCAGTGATTAGTAGGCCAAAGGAACACCCCGCCATCTAAACCCTGCAGTGACTAGCAGGCCAAAGGAACGCCCCGCCATCTAAACCCTGCAGTGATTAGCAGGCCAGAGGAACGCCCCGCCATCTAAACCCTGCAGTGATTAGCAGGCCAAAGGAACACCCCGCCATCTAAATTCTGCAGTGATTAGCAGGCCAAAGGAACACCCCGCCATCTAAATCTGTATTGATCAGCAGGCCAAAGGTCCAACTCGCCACCTAAACCCTGCGGTGGTCAGCAGGCCTAAGAAACACCCCGCCGTCTAAACCCCGCCGCGATCAGCAGGCCAAAGGAACAACCCATTTAAACCCTGCAGTGATCGGCAGGCCAAAGGAACACCCCTTCATCTAAACCCTGCAGGGATCAGCAGGCAACAGGTTCAATCCCGTCGTCTAAACCCTAGTGATCAGCAGACCCAAGGTCCACTCCCGCTACCTAAACCCTGCGGTGATCAGCAGGGCAAAGGTCCATTCCCGCTATCTGAACCCTGCAGTGATCAGCAGGCCATATGTGCAACCGCATCGTCTAAATCCTGCAGTGATTAGCAGGCCGAAAGTCTACCCCCTCCGTCTAAACCCTGCAGTGATCAGCGTGCCGAACGTCCGCTGCCGTCTAAATCCTGCAGCGATCAGCGTGTCAAACGTCCACACCCCCTCCCCCCCCCCCCCCGTCGCATCGGCCGTTCGGTGAAGTGGCCGAGCCATGCGGTCCAGCGTCCGTCCCAGCCACGCCGGCGGCCCGTCCGGGGCGAGCGGTGCACGCTCTTCCTCACTGGTACAGGCCAGCGTGCTCGCCGCCAGCCTCGCCTTTGGTGGACGGCGGAGCGCACCGCCGACCGCCGTATGTGCTTACCACTGCACTCCTCAAAACCGGCCGCGCCGACCCACAGATCTGGCGACTGGCCAGCGGCTCTCAAACTCCACGTCTACGCCTGATGTATATTGCATCCCCTGACACGGGACGCGCAGTGTACAGCTGCGCGCCGCGCCTGGCGTTGTCCCCAATCACGGGTTAACATCTACACGTGACTACGGCTCACAGGGCGTGCCCGTGGGAGGAGAGTGGCACCGGCCGGCTGGCAGACGGTCAAGACGACACTAAATTTAGCATCCCGGGTCACGGCTTCAACGGCGACGCTATCGATCCGTTACATCCCTGAAAGAGAAAAAATGTTATGTAACAAAGCATTACGTAACGAGAGGAAAAGTCTAGCAGATTCCAGAAGCCGAGAGGTTTCGCTGAAGCCGGAAACATTACACAATATCATGCTTTCATCACACGAACACGCTGCGGACAGCGGCCATGAGTTACACAGCTGGGGAACACTTCAAATCAATCTGGATGACAACTCGGTCTGTCCCGTGATTATCGCGTGTCAACACACGGCGTGCATATAAAACGTGCCCTCCAAAAGAGGCTAGTGATTTGAAAACAACCGGAGTCTGGATTGCACATATACGCCTTAATTTCGGCATTCAAGACAACGAAGATCATAAAATTATCTTAAGAGACCAGCTCATTGCGTGGGAAGTAAAGTTGTACTTCGTTCCGAAATACAATTAATCGTAATGTACGAAACGAACAGCGCACGCTAACAAAACGCCAACGGACTAGGTCTGTTTGAACGGGAACAAGTCAATTTGAACATCATCATCGTTAATGTCAGTCATCAGCAATCATCTTGGTTTAGCTGCCACACAAAGCCGCCGCCCGCCGCCAGTGGCCGCCCTCACTGTTGGACGCCTTGCACTGGCGCAAGGCCTCGTTGAAGCCCTCGCAGAGCGAAATGTCCGACTGGTTCTGGGCGCACTGCAGGAACTGCTTCACCTCCCAGGCGCAGGGCCCGGTCGGCTCGCTCGGCCCGCCGCCCGACATGCCCTGCGAGGGGTAGAGCGGTGCAGGAGCGGCCGGCGCCGGCGCCGGCGCCGCCTCGGCCGGCGCCGCGCCGCCACCGCCGCCGCCGCCGGTCAGCGCGTGACCGAGAACGTGGCCGACGGTGGAGCCGATGGCCACGCCGCCGGCGGTGGCCGCCATCTGGCCCATGAGGCCGGGCCCCTGCGAGGGCGCCGCCATCGGCGCCGGCGGATGGGCAGCCGGAGCGGCGGCCGGCACCGAGCTGGGAACGAGGGCGGCAGTCGTTAGGCGCGGTCGAGGCCAGAGGAGCGCACGTTCTAGGTACGCAATCGCGGTACCCAAGTTGATAAATATGGCGTCACAGGTAACCTTAATTGCCTTACAATACCTTACAACCTTTTAAAACCTTACAACAGTGTATAAGTACTGCACTCAAATGTTAGTGCTACGCAGTTGTGAGTGCCGTCATCGACGGCGACCTAGGACGGCGTTTGGCAGCGAAGAACAAGCCTGTGAGGATGGGGAAACAAGAAACCATATATGACCAGCGAAATGGAGCGAGGAAACAAAAGGGAGAACAATGACAGGGGATGACAGACAGAACAATGTGACAGCCCCATTCCGCGTGCTAGAGAACTGATGGCTGTGTTCAGTCACACTAAACGAACCAGACACAGAAGACGTACGCCAGACGTACGTGCAACCGTCAGGTAAGGATGCTTTCCGCGAACCGCGGACAGACGAGTCCAAACAGTGCCCCTCTCCAGCAGACAGCACGACAGAGAATCATCCAACGCAGGCACGTTGAGCACGACAGATAATCATCCAACGCAGGCACATTGGTCCAACAGACGTGACCCTCTGACTGCACCGCCGGCCATGTCATGCTTACACCTGCACTTGCCGGGAATCGACCAGCACCGGACTTCTTCTCAACAAGTGTCCTCCTATCTCGACACACTCGCGCGATGGCGGTGTGCGGCGATGACATGGCTGAGCGCGTCATGCGCCGGTCTGAGCTCACCTGTGGGCCGGGGCCGGAGCCGGAGCCGGAGCCGGCCGAGGAGGCGGCGCGGCGGCCCGGGGCGGTGCCCGAGGCGCCGGGGCAGCAGCACGACCACGACGAGGCATTTTCTGCAAAGGAAATACTGCAATCAGTAGTCAGTCAGCACAAGGTTTGGCAGTAGGGCTACTACTGCCATTTTTTTTTGGGGGGGGGGGGCAGGGGATATCAGGTTAGAACTAAGCAGGAACTTCATTATTTTGTGTAAAGTAAGTGATGGTAATTTGCAATTATGTCTGATCATATACCACACAGTGCCACTTCCAATGATTTGTACTTCACATTGCTGATAGCTACATGGGGTAAAGGGTAATAATATTCTTGCATATACTTGGCCTAATGCATGGGTTTCCTTTATTGGTAACCACTGCTATCAATGGTTGCAAAAGAATTGGTTTGTAAAAATTGTTGTAGTCAGTCTACCCCATTTGGGAAATTCATTCAATGCTCAAATTGACTCAACAAGCCTCTGGTCTGACTTGTTATAACAGTAGCCTAATGTGTTACCACCAGCCTAGTATTACTGATGTTAAGTACTTTTACCACATGAACCAAGTTTATAATGTGCATGTATGTACAATATATATATATATATATATATATATATATATATATATATATATATACACATATGATATGCCAGAATAAGCTCTCAATCAGAAATAAAATAAAATGCTATAGACATGAATACATCTGGATGCATAGTAACTGCAGTTAATCCCACCATAATTGAGAAAAAATTTTGAATAACTTCATACCCAATTCTGGCCTAATATGCAACCTTCTAACTTCTAACTTCATACCCAATTATAAGGTCAAAGTACAGCAAAGGTCTAAATGCATCAGGGTCAATGCCCCATAGTGTTACATAACAGACCACCAGATTAAGGCTAGCAAATCACTACAATAATGGAACACTTTGCACTTTGTACTACATGAGCTTTACTTTCTTCAAAGGCTTACACATAAAATCACCTGAATTGAAAGTAAATCCATCATCAACTTTTCACAAATAGATATAACAAGCACAATATTAGTTAACACAAAACCAAATACTGCCTAATCAATTGATGTCCAATATCAGCAACAAACTTTGACACTTGCTGACAATTGTTTTATCTTCCCAGCTGTCATCATGATATGCAGCTACATATCACACTCAGGATGACTGTGCATAAATTGACTCCAGTCTGCACCATATGCATGGTTTCACATGCACAGCATATCCCAAGAAAATGAATGCATAGTGAGGTACTCTTGCACTCTGAGATGCAAGACAACAGAGTTTAGGCCTTGGGCTGCAAACTGAGGGGATTAAGGGATTGATTTGTGCATCAACTTACCCTGACCATGCATGAACCATCACATCCATGACCCATGTCCTTTCAATGAAATCACTGCATTCATTCCACATCAAACCCCAATACTCTACCGCCAAGAATCAGAGCACACATTACGACCCTTATGGTGATATGAACACGCCGTGAGGAAGTCACAGAACTGATTTACACACTGGCACCAATGCTCATGAACGTTTTTTTTCTCGCATACCTCCCTTACCACAAAAACAGGAACTCCGAAACGTCAGGTGTATTTTCAGTCACGCACACTTCCTGAACACAATGCGGAGGCGGGGATGCAAGAATCGTTTGTGGGCTTTTACCACTGAGCTAGTATTAATTACCAACTCTATTCACGAGCGCACCTCTCAACTGCCAACCACCGCGTGTCACCCTTTGCCACCACCAATGCGACTACAACCACGAACACGCACAAAAACGGAAACGCGTCGCACTCGTCCCTCCTGCGCAGTAAGCCCCGCAGAGAAAAATTCTAGACGGAGTCGGTGCACACTAATCTACTGCTGTCTATCTGAACATCATAAAAAGACCAAATGTGGTAGATTGTACAATATTTCTGCTATTGAGTGCACCATTAGTGCTTGTATAAGGATTTTTGAATTTAAAATCCTTCAAAATATAAAACTAAGTCAAGCTCTATCTCACATATTGGCCTACCGTTTCGCACAACACCGGGAAGACAAAAAATTCAAAGGCATGCTCATGCCCGACATTCGTGAAAGAATTAATTGAGCCAAATTGATGTATCAAAATGCTTGGATTCGAAGAGTTTCATTATTTTGTATTCTATCTCGGAGATCCATTTTGCTACCGCTTGTGGTGTTCCTTTGCTGCCCCGACACACAGGTTTTCGATGCCTGTCTCCGCTCATTACCTCACACTTTGAGTAATGAAGGGGAAAATGCCTCTTATCATGTAAAATTTTGTAGCTGAGATCTATGGTTTCTTGCCATTAAGCGTATTTTTTAGCTGGATAAAACTGTAAGTCATCTCTTTAAAAGTTATCCTTAAAAGTTGTCTTTTGAAGTAAAGCTGGCAAAAATATGATTTAGCTGCAGCCACCCATAGTATTTATGCCCTATAATATGACGCCTTTGTTCCAAAAGCGGTCTTCTCATGGTCTCAAATGGCATCGTTAAGTAGCCTTGGTCTCAGTTGGCGTCGTCTCGTGAGTGATTCTGCGGTGGGACCCGCGAAACTGCGGTGGTGTTTTCCGTAGGGTCAGGGAGGTGAAAGGTATGGTGCTGGAGCGGTGGTGAAGAGGGTGGGGCCACTTAAGGCGTGAGCCCATGTTTCTGGGAATTATGATGCTTTAATGGTCAGTCTGCAAACTATGGTGAACATGCTGATGAGATGTTTGGACTGCAGAAAGTTCTCATTCAGATAGGAAGGTAGACTGCCGAGTTCGGGGCAATTTTTCAACCGCAAATACATCTTCCTGAGCAGTCCAGTTTAGCAATTTCTGTCACTATTTTTGATAAACTGCCCCAAATTGGAGATTGTTGCCCACCTCTGCCTCAACAGGATCTTGTCAAGATCTGCGATCGGCTGTGGGACTGTTGCAAAAGTAGTGTTAGCCAGAAATATTCTCGAAACTTTTTTCAAGCCAAAATAAGTGGAGAATTCAGTGCTGTTGGTCCAGGCTGAGTTAAGGGCATGTTTGCACCAGGCTTAATGTGCTGATGTAGCATAAGCTTCCTGCACATTGGACGGATTTTCTGCAGGCTGGGCAATATGCAAACTGACATGTGGCGAACCACTCAGTGACCATCATGTTTTGTGCTGTAATAGCACTGCATGGGGTCTTTTAAATACAAAAACATTTTTACCCACTCATGGGTAATGCTGTACCAGTCATGGTATACATTGCTACCTCATGTTAAAAAGAGCATTGTACATCAATCATCCTTTTAAGGCAGGACATATTGTAATTAATGGTAAAACAGGTCATCAAAACTCTTACCTGGCAACTTAAATAACTATGACAGTGAACATCTGAGCACCACAAACATGCAGCAACTGGGACCCTGGTGCCATTGCTTCACCTAACCACAACAATTCTGCTGCCCATCAAGAACCATAAAAATGTATAGGGACAAGGTAACCAGAATTCAGTGAAATATGTTCCTTGGGTATCCAAGCAGTCTTCCACACTGTTTGTAGATTGGTTGAAGTGCTGGGTAAATATGACGTCTTTGGGTGGGGAATGAAAAGCTGTGTTGTACAAGCCTCTAAACTAGATAGGTATCCCTAACAGAAGAGAACAGGGGTGATCATTGGCAGATCAGGCTGAGAAACTGTTTGCCATGCCATTGGGATGACCTGCTGAGTGTTATCCTGTTTCTGCCTCCTGCACCTTATGCATGATATGCACAATATGCATTTGTGCACTTAATGAATGCACTTACCTGCACTGGGGACACACTGATCGGACCCAGTTTGATCAAACTGTCCAAACTGGGGGCTGATCTATCTTGGCACACACCCTGCCTGAGAGTGCAGGAAGCAGTGTCATGCAATTTATGCAATATGACTGGCCTGGTTATTTGGCACAGCACTATTTCACCCTGATATGTTGAGTGTGTGATCTGAAGAATGTCATTTCCTTGAAATGCAGCATAGTGTGTAAGTGTAGCACATTGAACAGGCTATTAGGAGATCCTTGTCACATTTACCATGCTGAGAAGATGACATCCTTGCATGTTTGCATAGGCATGGATTTGAAAATAATTGAGTACAAGGATTTCAAGTAATGAAAAAGTCATCAGGTGCGGTCTTCGGAGCCAGCTGAGTACTTCCTGTTAACAAGCATTCATCTGAGTGCTTGACCAAAATCCCCTGAAGGTGATATGAAAGCTAGTACACCAAAAGACTGTTATGAACCAGGCTTTGGGTTACAGCAGCATAATATGCTCCCTTCTGACAGGGATGATGAAGAGTTCCTGGAAAGTGGATGGGTAACTGGGCTCGGCTATGGAGGATGCCGTTTGTGTCGCAAGAACCCCGCGAGTGCTCCAGCCATTATTGTGGCAGTGCAGAAGGAAAGGCAATGGCGGATCATGGGTAGCCCGGCGCTTAGGCACGGCGATCGGCGCGAGGGGAGCTTTAAACGCGTGACGGGCCGCCGGTTCGCGGATCGCTGCCCTGTCTGCGGCTGGACCAGGATTGCCTGGTGGTTGGGCCGGCCGCCTTTGGGCGCTGGCTGGCCCGTGAACATCCGTCCATTCGGCGCGGTGAACCGCCCGGAGTCGCAGCCACTTCACCCACGGGCCGCTGCGACGGCCGCGCGCTGTACGCGCTGCAGACGCGTAGCGCTGCCCGCTACTGGCAATCGCCGCGCGTGGCTGCGTCGGCCGGGCGCGTTGTCTGCGGGTTGCGGTGCCTGGAGTCCCAGACTGGTAGACCGATGTCTGGTGGTCGCAGCTGCGTGGGGCTCCGGCCACCGCGCGGTGCCCTTGAGCCTGGGCGCCACCCACACGGGCCTCATACTTGGTCCGCCGAATCTGCCACGCCATAGCGGCAGGTTGGGGGAGGGGGGGGGGCGGGTGAGGATGGAAGGGGAGAGACGTGGGCCGCGTGGAAACCCACATGCTGTTTTCAGCACATATTGCAAGCACCAACTGAAGATGCTGTCTGGTTTTAGAACAGTTTTCCGAGTTTTGGGACCATTACATGGGTGGGAAACACAACATTCTGATGCAATAATTTTCGAATGGTGCAACGCGGTTGATACTCGAACATGTGCGTTTTTTGTCACGTTTTCTAATCATTTTGTTAAACCTATGTGATAAACGCCTTCAGTTGTTTGCATCATTGTTTTAAATGCCCATCGGAAGGGAATTGGGCCTGACATCTCACGTCATCACATTAAGATACTTATTTTCGACTCTAGTGTGTTAACTCATTTCCAATGGCCAACTCTCACTTATATTGTGTGTCCGTTTGAGTATTTACGTATTAAAGACGCCATTAGGCGGGAGATGTGAGAAATATGAAACTGTGTTCCCTTAGTGATCTTTAAAACCCTGCCCGTAATATGTACTTTAACGCTGAAATAGTCAATCACTGCCTGTAAACTTGACTCCCCCGACCCCCAAATTCCCCTTCTGAAAGACTTGTGAATTGGCCGTGCTGTCCAATCCATCATCAAAACATGGCGTGTTCGGCTGCGGTCTTGTTTCTCAGGATCCGGCTTTGGGGTCGTCATTCGGGTTCTCGGTGCCAGTGTTAGGTAAGGTGCAGTTATTAGTGGAAACCAGCGAAGCAAGCGTACGACTGTGCGTGGGTCCGTTTACAGCACGCATACACAGGTGACAAGCAAAGCGGATGGCTGAGTGACGCCTAGATACTCAAAGACTCCGATGTGCGCATTGAGCCAGCCTTTTCAGTTCCCGGAATTACATGTATAATCGATGGTCCTCTGCGTACATCACCTCAGTTACCCCTATCAACAAGCCTGGGAGGCTGGTTAAACAAACCTGCCAGCCTCGTCACTTTGACACACTTGAATTATGATGTATGTTGATAAGTCATCATGCGTAAACTTGATAGAGCCGATCTTGACCTTACCTTCACGTTTCACCTTGCAGGCCGATGAACGAGCCTTCAGAGTGAGGAAGAGCTCAGGAAATTTTAGGGCGCCACTGACTGTCTCGCCTGCACGAGGCCCGCCTTTGCGTGTCAGTTTGCTGAGGTTTAAAGCATTCTTCCCTGGGTCCACGGCTTTAAATAGTCCTCCTTAGGTGCGCGGCTTTGCCGGTTGGACAGTGGTCTGCAATAACATGCTGCATGCTATGCGCCCAGTTTGTGGGACGGTGTGCTACTGACAGCAGGATGACAGCAAGCTGGCTGTTTTGATGGTTATTTCATACCGGTGCATGTCTGCTGAACACCATCTAATTTCGAATTTTCCGGGTTCCAAGGCATTTCGGTTTGTTGCTTGCCATCCACCACCATAAACCCAATGAAAAATCTGTGGTAACTGGGTTCCCGAGTCCCTGCCCTTCCCCCTCCCGCCCCCCCCCCCCCCCCCCCCCAGCGTTATGGCGCAGCAGTTCCAGCGCCTGTGCTGGAGTCATTTGCCATTAGACGTCCCTCGCCTCTGTATTCCGAGCTGTTCATACTGAATACCCCAAAGCAGGTATGTCATTACGGTAACGACTGCCGAACGCCGTGTCGCGTGGTGTTATATACGGCTTATACGGCATTACCATACACACGGCACCTGAATAGGGATGTGGTGTGTGGGCACCTGAGCCAGGGGTGCCGGGTGGTGTGTGTGTGTGTGGTGATGCCGTATGTTGCGATCCCGCACTATACGTCTGCTGTATTTCACAGACCCGTAGCGCTTCACTATGCCGCGCATCGATACAGACGTGAAGCTGGACTTCAAAGATGTTCTGCTGCGACCCAAACGGAGCACGCTGAAGAGTAGGGCAGATGTGAGTCAGATGGATAGATATGAGTCAGATGGGTAGATATGAGTCAGATGGGTAGATATGAGTCAGGTGGAAGATATGGGTCAGGTAAGCGGATGTGATTCAGATGGGCAGACGTGATTCAGACGGGCAGATGTGAGCCAGATTAGCAGATTCAGTCAGGTGGGCAGATGTGAATCAGCTGGCAGATACCAGTCAGCTGGGCGGATGTGAGTGGGTAGCAGATGTGAGTGAGATGGGCAGATGTGGGTAATCTTAAGTTCAGATTGCCTTCCATCATTGATGCATGAGACGCATGTGTACTTCCGTTAAGTCTGCGTAGAAGGTGATGTATATTGGACAGATTCCAAGTATCGGTATGTCCTCTGCCAGCAATATTTTGGCTTCTTAAATACTAATCGGAATGGCTCGGTCGCCAGGTATGCGTGGAAAGGACGATCACGTTTCGCAACTCCAAGTACACCTGGACCGGGGTGCCCATCATAGCCTCCAACATGGACACGGTCGGAACGTTCGAAATGGCCGTGGCGCTGGCCAAGGTATGTGGAAGCGGTGTCTGCTGCGCGGCGCCCATCGACGGCGCGCTGACCCTACACGAGCGGGGAACTGCACACCACCCCGGGCGCGGTGGCGTTAATGGCGGTGGCACCATGTGGGCCAGGCGCTAACACCGTGACCTGACGTCGTTGATCTGAGGGTCGTTAGTTAGGTCATCGTCGGTGGAATATACGCATGCATGTGTAATTCACAGCATGAGCTGTGCCCACCATTTGTTTGCGTGAAATACAGCAAAACGTCAAGGGTGACCTGGCTTTAGTTCATCGATCGTCATTGGCACAAAGGTTTTGAAACAGCGAATATATCGTGTATGATGATCTTACCGCGTGACTTGCACGCTTTGAACGCGCCAGTGCCACTGCCCGCATGCCACCTGATGCGGATGCGAACTCAGACCGTTGTTGCCCGCGACCGATATGCAACAAAAATACACATTTTGCAGTAGTGAGGATATGATTTGTGCTGATGCTATCACGTACTCGTCATCCCGCTGCCTGACACCCTCAATTCACGGACCTCAGCGGGTGCACACCGCTACCCAATACCCTCCGGTGTCGACGCGACCGCAACGCCGCACACCGCCGCCTCATGCGAAGCCGAACCGCGCCGTGCCTGCGCCGCCAGCACAAGATTTTCACCACCATCCACAAGCACTACCCGGTGGAGGCGTGGAAGCAGTTCGCCGCCGCGCAGCCGGAGACCCTGTACTTCGTGGCGGTGAGCGCCGGCACGAGCGCGGCCGACTTCGACCGGCTGGCCGAGATCGTGCAGGCCGTGCCAGAGCTGCGCTTCATCTGTCTGGACGTGGCCAACGGCTACTCGGAGCTCTTCGTCGAGTGCGTGCGCAAGGTGCGCGCCACCTTCCCGCATCACACGATCATGGTGAGGGACGCCGCGGCGGCCGGCCGGCCGGGCGCGCGACCGCAGCGGGTGGCCGGTGGGCCTCGCGGGCGACGGCGGGGCGCGGGGGTGTTGAGGCCTCCGTGGGCAGTGAGCTGGTGACGTGCAGAGGCCAGACCGGACCGCTGTGTTTACGCTGGTGGCGGTTTGCGCGTTTTAAGGATAAGCGGAGGGGGAGGCGTGCAGTATATGTATATGCTCTGTAGCATGACGTGACGGTGGCCGGTGATTTGACGGTCTCATCCCGATGGTGTCTCCAGGCCGGTGGCAAGTCACGCTTTAAATCATGCAGCTAACTTCTCTAGCTCTCGAGGCTGGCAACAAGACGCCAGGCGCTACTGGTGGGAGAGGTCATGAATGGTGATAGTGCATTATAGGTTTTCCGTAGGTCTAGGCAGCTGACGCGTTGGCGGATATCACAAGTGTCTTGCAGTTCGCTAGCGAGGTTGGATGTGAGACTGTCGACTGACCTCCGTCGCACCGCAGGCCGGTAACGTGGTGACGGGCGAGATGGTGGAGGAGCTGCTGCTGTCGGGCGCTGACCTCATCAAGGTCGGCATTGGGCCCGGCTCCGTCTGCACCACGCGCAAGAAGACGGGCGTCGGCTACCCGCAGGTGTCGGCCGTGCTCGAGTGCGGCGACGCCGCCAAGGGGCTCGGCGGCCACATCATCTCGGTAAGTCGGCCGGGCCGTACGCCCTTGCCTGGGGTGTGACGTCCGCCGGTCTGGCGGGGTGTGTGACGTCAGCCGGTCTGTGGGTGTGTGACGTCCGCCGGTCTGGCGGGGGGGGGGACGTCCGCCGGTCTGGCGGGGGGGGAGGGGGTGTGACGTCCGCCGGTCTGGCCGGGGTGTGACGTCCGCCGCTCTGGCGGTGTGTGTGACGCCCGTGAGTCTGGCAGTGTGTATGACGTGTGCCGGTCTGGCCTGGGGTGTGACGCCCGTGAGTCTGGCAGGGTGTGTTGTCCGCCGCTCTGTCTGGGGCGCGCTGAACATCGGTGTGCCAGGTCACATGCTGTGTGCGTTGTGAGTGAGCCGGGCCGGGCTTCGAGCGACGACCGTGTTGTCGTCTACAGTCTCGGTTTTAGCCGGTCTTTGGTGCCACCATATGAACTCGTTCAGATGTATCAAGCCGCATCGCATCCGGTTCATGTGTCATTTATGACAGGAATTTTCTAACGCGTTTAGATGTGTGTTTGAGACGGCAGAAGTCGACGTAATTTGATGCTCCGTATGTCTCTCGTTTGTCTGTTGGCGCCATGGTGTGTCAGGCAGCCATTTCGTCCACCTTCACGTTTTGCTTCCTTTTTATGATGTATTTCAGACCTGAATGACCAAGTAGCTTAGTGTTCGACGTCAGCAACAACATTTTGTCGTCAGCTTTGCTTTAAGGACGGCCGTTGCGCGTCGCTTCACCGCGCGCCAAGCGTGACCACAGACGATCGGGGAGCCCGACCAGCGGTGTCGGGGACCGTGCCGCGTAGCCGTGTGCCCCTGACCGCGCCCAACCCGCCCGGCCGCCACCCCAGGATGGCGGCTGCACCTGCCCCGGCGACGTGGCCAAGGCGTTCGGGGCCGGCGCCGACTTCGTCATGCTGGGCGGCATGCTGGCCGGCCATGACCAGTCGGGCGGCGAGGTGATCGAGCGCGACGGCCGCAAGTACAAGCTCTTCTACGGCATGTCGTCCGCCACGGCCATGCAGAAGCACGCGGGCGGCGTGGCTGAGTACCGGTGAGCGTTTGTGGGCCGCGGGACGTCCGAGGCTGCCAGAGCCGGCCCGCTCGGCCAGCGACGCCGGGTCGGCGCGGCTGACCACGCGGGGCTGAACGAGCCGCGCTGGTGCGGCTAGGTTGTGTGAGTTGGGAGGGAGAGCGCTGACGGCTTCAGTGTCAGGTATGGACGGCCAGATAGACCAGGCTGGCTGTGTCGGGCTGAATGGGCTTGCGGGTAAACCATTTTGCTAGTATTTGCAGAGGTCGTTCTCATTGACCAATGCCAACTGGTGCGCAAATATTGGAAGCAGAGCGAACAGTGTTTCCGGACGCCGCAGAAACAGCTTATTGTTGACTGTGCATTTGTATTTATGAAGCCAGTTTCCAACGGCCTGCTCGCATTTGCAAAGTGAAGTTTCCGGCAACGGAGAACCGCATTGATTCGACCGGTAGTATATTTTCAAACAGTGTCCTTGTGGTGGCTGGCGCTACTCGTTCCAAACATCCATTAATGTAACGGTCTCGTGCTATGCGCGCTCGGGACTCCTTTGAACGTTTATGCGAGGTTCGGACCGTTAGGCTGTCACGTTTGTTATTCGTCGCAGATTGGCCATGCGGGGCTGCCATTCAGGCGCGACCGCGCTCACTCTGAACCCTTACCCGCCACAAGCTGTGTCCCTCCCGAGTCTGCATGACTGATTGCGCCTGGGCAGCTCGTTAGAGTCTGGCGCTGTGGTCGTGCTATGTTCCGCGGTCACGTGCCAGATATAGGACTGGTAACCATGAGGGCAATCAATCTTGCTGGCTGGCCTGACTCGGTGAGCTGTGACCGGAGACCCGCGCAGTGACCGGAACCCCGCGGAATGACCGGAGACCCGCGGAATGACCGGATACCCGCGGAATGACCGGAGACCCGCGCAGTGACCGGAACCCCGCGGAATGACCGGAGACCCGCGCAGTGACCGGAGACCCGCGGAATGACCGGAGCCCCGCGCAGTGACCGGAGACCCACGCAGTGACCGGAGGCCCGCGGAATGACCGGAGACCCGCGCAGTGACCGGAGACCCGCGTAGTGACCGGAACCCCGCGGAATGACCGGAGCCCCGCGCAGTGACCGGAGACCCGCGCAGTGACCGGAGACCCGCGCAGTGACCGGAGCCCCGCGCATTGACCGAAGCCCGCGCAGTGACCGGAGACCCGCTCAGTGACCGGGGCCCCGCGCAGTGACCGGAGCCCTGCGCAGTGACCGGAGACCCGTGCAGTGACCGGGACCCCGCGGAATGACCGGAGCCCCGCACAATGACCGAAACCACCCACAATGAATGGAACTCCGCGCTACGTCGGAACCCCGTGTAGTGGCTGGAGCCCCGCGCAGTGACCGGAACCCTGCGCAATGACCGAAACCACCCACAATGAATGAAACTCCGCGCTACGTTGGAACCCCGTGTAGTGACTGGAGCTCCGCGCAGTGACCGGAGCTCGGCGCAGTGACCGGCCTGAGCTGTGGCGAAGGGGCGAAATCGCCGCCTGGTTGGATATCTTGTTCAAGAGCAATTGGTTTGATGAACGTGCAGCCGTGACTGGTCAAACAAAGTTGCCTGGCATGGATTCACCTCACTGATTTTCCTCATGCTTATTCCACCCGTGCTGTTTGCATGAAAAATTCGCTTCAATCGAGTCGGGTAACGGTCCCTCAAGCTGACCGGCTGAGGTGTGTGGGCAGAGCCCTCTGTCGCAGACAACTCGCTCGGCCCTCACGAGCCCCCAGCCGGCGTCGCCGTACGGACTGCCGTTGGCACCCCGGCTGCGGGGCGGCGACGCGCCGGCGCTGACCCCGCCCCTTCCGGCAGCGCCTCCGAGGGCAAAACCGTGCAGATCCCGTACCGCGGGGACGTGACGGCCACGGTGTTGGATGTGCTGGGTGGTGTGCGCTCCGCCTGCACCTACATCGGCGCCGGCAAGCTGAAGGAGCTGCCCAAGCGGACGACGTTCATTCGTGTCACCCAGCAGCTGAACGAGATATTTACCGGCAATGAGCGCAACGACTAGCATCGCGGCGGTGCGCCCAGACCCTGGTCTGGGGTCGGGCTTGGGGTCGGGCTCAGGCTCGGGCTCGGGCTCGGGCTAGGGCTAGGACTCGGGCTAGGGCTCGGGCTCGGGCTCGGGCTCGGGCTCGGGCTCGGGCTCGGGCTCGGGCTCGGGTTGGAGGCTTGGGCTCTGGTTGGAGGCCCGGGCTCCGGCGTGGTTCTCGGTCAAACTGCGCTGAGGCAGGTCTGGTCTGGTCTGGGCTGGGCTGGGCTGGGCTGGCTGGGCTGGGCTGGGCTGGGCTGGGCTGGGCTGGGCTGGGCTGGGCTGGGCTGGGCTGGCTGGGCTGGGTGCTGGGCTGGCCTGGCCTGGTCTGGTCTGGTCTGGCCTGGCCTGGTCTGGTCTGGCCTGGGCCTGGTCTGGCCTGGGCTGGGCTGGGCTGGGCTGGGCTGGGCTGGGCTGGTCTAGTCTGGGCTGGGCTGGGCTGGGCTTGGTTCAAGGTTGGGCCGCGTCTGGGCTCAGAGTCGGATCGGGGTGGTGCTCCGTGTCGGCTGTGTGTACGTGTTACTCCCGTGATTGCTGTGCGCTTACCTCTGCCTTGACTAGTCGCATGCTGTTTCGCTGACTACTAAGTAAGTGGGCTGACCAAAACCAGTGGCTCGTCGCGTTGGAGCTAGTTGCTGATTTTCTGGCGTTGTAAGGCTTGCAATTGGTTCCTACAATACCTAGAAATAGCGAGGCACAAGGTCCGGGACTTTTGTACGTTGCTGAGCTGTACATGACTCTGCTGGTTTGTTGTGCATCTCTAGTATTCGTTATTGTGTCTCAGCTGGGGCTCGTAGGTACATTCGTCGCCGCCGCCGTGGCCTGCGCACAAGGGACAGTATTAGGCCACTATCCCCAGTCAGCCGATATGTCTTATGTTTTGCTATGCCCGTTTGTGAAGGCCCCATACCCGCTGCTGTGCTGTTTGCTCATATCACTCTTGAGAGCCGCCATTTGATCGTGAGTTACCCGTCTACTATGACGTACGGTGTGCAATATATTCAGGTGGTTTGGTCGTTACAAACCAATCTGATCAGCGGGGCAAGGAAGAGAATGGATTTGTCACGATGCTTCTAGTAGAGGGGCACATTTGCTTATTGTGGAGGTGGTACCGGTTTTTCGGGGTTTGAATTCAAGCGTAGCTGCCGCTGGGTGACGGTTAGCGGAAGGGAACTACCGGCAAAGAGGTCGGCTTTTAATCACTGTTTCAAACGAAAGGTATGTATTTCACTTAAGATGCATCTCAAGTGAAGACGGCGCTAAGGTTTCAATCAGTGACGTTTAGACGAGCACCAGCGCCCTCAGAATAGCGCCTGCTCTGGCACGACGCCGTGGACGCTGCACCGAACGGGCAGCCGCCCTTCTGCGAGCCGGTGCGCCAGTCCAGGTGAGGCAGCGCGGTGCTGGCTCACCTGGATCCCCGCCGGCACCACCGGAAACAGTGGTGTGTTCCAAGGCATCTGGCGCTCACGATACGAGATCGTCGGTCCGCGGATGCGGGAAGATGTGTGACGTTCTAGCTGACGTCACCGTGAGGTTCGAAAAAAGAATTGGGGACCCTGAAGACCAACGAGATGCATGTCCAGCTGTGGAAATGCCAGGACCTAGTATACGAGATCTATGTCCCGGCGTCCAATTCAGAGGTCCTTCTACTTGTATCTGATAATGCGATGCATTGCCGGGTCTTGTAGTTGTCATACATTTGTGCAAAAAATGCAGACGCAAGGCGTCATTTTCCGACGAACAAGACCGGATCAATCTACCTTTACGTGGCTACCCGCGCTTTATAACCGCCATGCGTTTAATCGCACTGATGGCCATTTGCCGCCAAGGCCCTACTTTCAATCGGTCTTCAAAACGACTTATCGCCTGCTACCTTTGGCACGGCCATTGTTGCTTTAGAAGCATGCGTCAAGCCAGCTTTTAAAGCTGATTGTTGAAGTGGAGAGCGCCCGATGCGCAGGCATTCGCCAGCTTTCATGGCGCCCCATCGATCCACGGGTTGTGGGCGTTTTGTTCTGTTCTGGAACAACACGCCAATACCTTTGGCGTGTTGTTCCGTGGTTGCCGATGTCCTGGATCGTGATAAGCTGCCTTGCGTGGGTGACCGGCGGTGGAGGCGTCCCGCAGGGCTGGGTGGCTGCCAGGCCTGAGCCACTATGACGCATGGTAACCAGAGAGAATTGGCGCGCCATAAGGCTCAGGGGTAGCAAGCCGAGTCAAAGAAGGCAGGGAAAATTGGTGGTAACAAAGGACTTCGCATGGAGCAGGGGGGGCAAGGGGACGCGGGCACATTGCGAATGAAGCAACAGAGGGCGGCGGAGAAGGCCGCTGCGGCCGAGGCCGGCGGCCCAGCCAAGAAGTGGTCACGTTAAGCTCGAGCTGCCCGGCGCCCGGACACGGACCCGTGACCTGGACACGGACCCTTACCCCAAGGCGGGCTCGGCTCGCCCTGTGTCCGGGCACCGGCGGGCTCACTCAGGCCACACCGTCCAATACCATATTCAAACACAATCGTTGCAAATTCGCCTGTTGTTGCCCAGGACCTATAGCGCTGCACTTACTGGCGTGTTTTCGAGTGCCTCTAGGCTAGGCGAGGTGCTCTCCAGTGGCCTCCGGGCGTGATACCTCTGGGTCACCTTCGACATAGCTTCTTTGATTTGACTGGAACACGTTCACGAACACGAACACGCTGGTGGGTTTTGTATCCCGAGTTCCTGTTTCTGTGCATGCACGCATGCGTGAGGGGGGGGGGGGGGCGGTTCTGGGATGGGCGGCGCGCGCTACACTGCTGTCGCTACCCCCTTTTTGAGGGAAGCGACAGCAGTTTACCCTCTTACCCCCTGTCTGCTGCGCCGCCGGCTGCTGCTGTCACGCCTCCCTACAAGAGCGGGTTTACAGTGACGAGCGCATTGGTCAGCATACAAGCCAGATGACACAAGCGGTCGGCTCGGCACTGTGCGACTCCGGTACACCCGACATCAACACACACTCATGTGAGCCACAGAGCAAGGATGAAGCGGGCCCGGCCGGTGGGGTCGCATGGCCAGTGCCCCTTCCCCCGTCCCCAACTACACGAGTGGGAACGGATGGCCGTGGCCCGCGCCCGCCCGGTGGGGAGGGGTCAAGGGACACGGGAGCGCCAGCCGTCTATGGCCCGGTAAAGATCGGGATTGGGACTAGGGTTGGAACAACGGGACACCGGCGACAACATGCCTGCGGACTTCCCGTGCTTGTCGCCGGTGTCCCGTTGTCCACGGAGCCAGATGTCGCCGCCACCACCTCTCCTCCGCGCTCCTCACTCCTCGGGACTCCCCGGGAGACCCTCTCTCCTGCAGCGCCTCCTCGGGACTTCCCTGCCCGTCTCCCCGTAGGGCGGTTATCGCAACATGTAATGTTCTTAACCATGACTCCCGAAGACCTCGCGCCACCTCTAATCTTCTGCGATTATTCCAACTCGGTCCGCCTACCTTCGCTTTTGCGCATGAACCAGATTTGTCGCCTCGCCCCCTCCATCCAATATGTCGCCGGACCGGCCTACGCTGCTACCAGAGCCCAGCCTCCAACGTGCCCCTGGGCCAGACTTCGGGCGTGGCGTCGCTGGCGACGACGCCAGGCCCACCCGCTCTCGCCCCGGGCGGGCTCCGCGCATCCCCCTGCGTCTGACGCCAGCTGGGGTGACGGCGGCACCGGCGCGGCGGGGTTCTCGGGGCAAAACGGCACATATCTTCATGCCGGACAAATATGCCTGCGCGCGTGATGTTTCATCGGTAATCCGGCTTTCGCGTCCATCAGTCTTGATCGGCCGGCGGAGGGCAGGCTTTACCATTTGACGTGATGGTCCATTTCCGCTAAGTAGGCCACCGTCACGGCCGTTGCGAGGGAAAACGGCGGCTTGTCCCACATGGCCGGGCGACACACACCGTTTTCCTCGCAGATCCGGTCAACAGTGCGGGCCGATCGGCTGGGGCGTCGGACTGACCCGCATCCAGCTCTCAGGCCCGCTCGGCCTGACAGTCGTGTTTGATTTGACGGGGGGGGGGGGGAGGATTCCTGGCCATGGCTGGTCTGCTCGTCCGTCCCACGCTCAGCTGGGAAGCCTCACCGACTCTGGACGGGTGGTGCGCAAAGTGGAAAGAAAGAAAATGCATGCCTACAGTAACAAGCCTCCTTTGATTTCACGTCCCTGTGAAAAGTTAGAGACCCCTCCTTGACCTGGCCCCTCTTCCTGCTTCCCTATACGCCGTAACCCCCCCCCCCCCCCCGACGCACACCCCGGATGATCGTTAACTCTCCCCCTGCACAGCACGGACAATCATATACCCTCATTATACACACATGAGCGGCATTCACATGGTACCTCACTCCACGTATGCCACTGGTTGCCGTCTAGCAGGACTGCCAGCGAGTCGGCGGCGACGGTCCCAGCTGCTCGCCAGCTGCGCCGAACGCTGCGTGATGTCCAGCGGGGCGGGCGCGGCGAGACGCCGGAGCTCCCGGCTGGCTGCGTCGTCCCGAGATTCTCCCGCCTCCGCTCACTCGGTTCGGAGGAGCTTAGTTCCTCACTGCTACTTGACGCCTGATCGCTTTTATTCAATTGTTCGTTCCATCTTCTCTTATTTTCTGAAACATCCCGGTCTATTTTCCGTGGTGCCAATGACCTCTGCATAATAGTCTCATAAAGTCCGGCAAGCAAGCCATGAAGTCGTTGGGTCCACTTCCGCCAAGCTGCACCTACCGACACGCGTCTCGCGCGGAGGCTCGGATGGGCCCGATTTGCGACACCTGGGCGTCTGCGACCGTGGGGACACTGTCCTGGCTTTCGAATTAATGCACAGCACGCGAGTCTGGCGGCTGACGTGGTCAAAACATCCTGCAGCTGTCGCCGCTGTTTTTGCACGCTGTTCTTATGCTGGCGGCTGAAGTGTGACACTGTTTTTCTGATCTAGTTTTAGGGCGATTTATGACGCTATTTTGAGAATGCGAACAAGTGAACAACAGATAATTTCGCTTTCGATGCCCGATCTCGTATAAAAGCCGCATGGCCGCAGACACCGGCACAGTCCGCGGTAGTGAGCAGAAGTACCCCGCACGCAGCAGAGGCCGCCGATATGTCCCGCGGCAAGTTGCCATCGGTCGTGACTGCAGTTTGTCTGGTGACGTCATGTGTAGCAAGGCTGGCGACCAATGAGCTGCGTCAGCCGTTGGCAGCCT